CCTAAGCAAAGCATCCACTACTAATTTGTCCTTTTGGGTTAGAAAGTCTAAAATTGTCTAGAGATGTACAAAGCTGTTAACTTGGGAATAAATGATACAGCAGTTTTTATAATCAGCACTAGATCAATTTGTCCTTTTGGTTGAACACAAGATCCAGAGTAATTTCGACGAAATTAGTAAGATAAACTATAATTATGTTTTTAGATGTGAATATGTATTCAAGTGACCTTATTTTTATTGCATCTTATACATTCCTCGCTCATTGTTCACCTAATTTTCACGTATTGCAACACTATAAATATTTACTAATTAGTATAGTGATTTGGAGTAATTATTTTTTTGTGAGAGCAGATATTTTCGTCTCCAATCACAGCGCGCCACGTGAAAAAGAAGATTATCTCTTTTAATTAATTAATTGAACCAGTTTATCTGGCCAATTAATTAATTGGGATAAATATCTTAATTAACATGATATTATCTTTATTTAATAAGATAATATCATTAATTAAGATATTATCCTAATAAAGAGAAGATAATGTCATTATCTCAGATATTATCTCCATAAAAAGAGATAATATCATTTAATTAAGATATTATCTCCATAAAAGGAGATAATATCATTAAATCATATATTATCTCAGTCCGACTCGATCCCTACGAATTTGGGTAGAGAATAAACTCAGCATATTCTCTACGAAACCCTAGCCCCGAGGCTCCTATAAATAGATGACCTCATTCATCATTCAAGGTACATCTAAACCTTCTCCAGAACCCGAGAAAAATACTCGAAGCTCTCTCTCCCTCTCCACTCTCCCTATTTTCTCCACACGGCTCCGGCCACCACACACGGCTCTGGCCGCCCGATTCACATCATAAACACAACTTCGTACCCTTTGCTTAGCTATTGTTTTTCTACAAACACTTGAATTAACTTAGGCATCGGAGGGCCTTTGGCCAACACCCTCCGGGTGTGGTCTATTTACTCCAGTTTTTTTTTATAGGAAACGAGGAAGAGAGAGAAAGAAGATCGAAGGTTGAAGGATCTAGAAGCGAATATTCTCCCGCGAGATTATTTGCACAAACATCCTTCAAGAATGAAAAAAATAATACTCCTCTCCTAGAAGAAAAGGAAACTTTAAAAGTTTAATCGAGGCTTGGGTTTGTGATGTTTGAATTTTAACCTTGGCTGCAATTGGCATAATTCAATCCCTAATCGAAGACCCATATGTGTAAACTCATTTTTATTGAAGTTTGAGTCTCGTTATGCTCAATAATCTTTTAAGCCAAGTCTTAGTTGTCTAGAGATCTACAAAGCTGTTGTCCTGATCACCATGAAATTACAAACCATGAAAAACTTTTCTAATATAATATCAACTTCCATTTGTTTTTATCAATCAATGTTTAGCTTTTATATAAATTACAATGACCTCGTTGACTTGGTAGGTTGTCTGATATTCAAGCAGGGATAACATTTGTCCAGTCTTCTAGAATATAATGAGTAAGGACCGAGGAAAAAGAAATTACAATTAGAGTAACAAGAGTCCATGACAGCTTTTGGCTCTACTAGTGTATCTTGAATTGTGAAACAATTATAAATTTAATAGTAAATTTGGCTTACACCCTTCAAATTCAATTTGCCGTACCTAAAACCCTTCACTTTTTGTTCCTATAAATAATACCCAATTTGTATAAGTAAAAACCCATGACTAGGATCCAACTCAGCAAGTTACCTAATTAAGCATAAAATCTGATTTATTGTACTTTTCAGATTCCAAAAATATCCCCAACTAAGCCATTATTGCATTTTGTATATTAATGTAGGAATCAATATGGAAACAGTTTTTAATTGGATTGTATATAATGACAGATGTTGAATTTGGAAAGATCTCCAAATGGTTGTAATGGATGTAGGAATTAATTTTAGAACATTTTAAAAAAAAATTTAACAATAAATTCAAATTTAGGTAATCGGTTTGTTTAATAAAATGTTTATGTTATTTTCTTTTTATGAATTATACATGACTAATAATCCACTTTATAATTGTTTATGAATAAAACTGTACATACTAATTATGTTGAAAAAATAATGTACCTATTACTTGTTTGTTTTATGAAAAACATAATTTACCTAGTATGAAAAGTGTACATAATTATCTATTCCAAATAATGTACCTATACACATTTACAGGTATATTGTAAAATAATTTACCTGTGGGTAAATAATGTACCTATATTTTATATAAATTATTGTGTACCTATTTTTAATTATGAAAAATATATGCAATTACAAAGTAACTGACTTTGTTTTTTTTTTTTGGTAAATAATATACCTATATTTTATATGTATATATTTATATTATATTTTTCATAGGTGGATATGTAATTTACATATTTTTTGTTGTTGTTGTAATTTTAGGGGGCGAGATGTGAGAGGGAATGACAACTAAAAGAAATGGGGTGATTGATATGCTATTAATAGGGAGTATATTAATTACAATTATGACAGTTAATGAAATGCTTGAAATAAATTATAAATAAAATATGAAGTTTGGTGGCAATGATGTAAAAACATAGAAATACTACGACCTCTTATATCCTACTAGTCGTTTAAATTTGAAATTGGGTTTTACACATAGATTTATAGAGTGATGGGTATATGTCTAGGAAATAGAAAATGTAGGGATCTATATTGGACAAGCTCTAAATTTAATATATACAATCTGCTTATTACCCCAATATTGGATGAAGCGACGTCGAACACAATGAAGAACTTTCGGATCCAACCCAACCTCACCACCACCGCCCCTCAAACATCACATCCAACAAATTAACAGCACACCCAACATTAGAAAAATGCCTTCCTTTGTCTCTTTCAAGCACCACCATTGCCCTAATCCATTAATTTAACACATTTCAGAGAAAACCAATTCTAAACCTTTGCGCTCTCTCTCTCTCTCTCTTTTTTGTCAATGATAATATTGTATGGTAATTAAATAATAATTGTTTTTCAACGTTAATTAAACAAGTTAATCAATGTTGCGTGGTCGTCCTTTACACCAAGTTTTTTATTTTTTGGTCAACAACCCCCGAAGTCTCTCGCTCTTATATTTTTCCTACTTCAACTAATCCTAGCCTATTGATTAGGTTGAATATTGAATATCCAAAATGCTCCCCATTTAGATGAAGGGACAACAAAAATTGAATAAGCATATTGGAATCATAATAGATATTGTCTTCATTGAAGTTTGAGTCTCGTTAAATTGATAAATTTTGTAAACCAGGTCTTAGTTTAGTATTTTGACCAAAAAGGTCTTAGTTTAGTATAATTTTGTAAGTCAGGACTTTTGAGGAAAACTCCATTTAAATTAGAGATGTCAAACAGGACGAGCCGGTCCAGCACGGCACGAGCCCAGCCCATTTAAATGAGGCACGGCACGACACAAGCACGAATATTAATAGGCCGTACTCGGCACGACACGAAAACTTGAGCCGGGGCGGGATCAAAAAATAGGTTCAATGGACCGGGCCGGCCCACGGCCCGACATAGACTGGGCTTGGCCCGAACCCGCTTCAAGCACGGCACGAGCCCAAGCCCGCTTCAAGCACGGCCCACTTAACTTTTTTTTTGCTTCTCAAAATTCAAAATGCAATAATTTGATATCTAATGTCATTGTTTATATATATATATATATATATATTTTTTTTTAATCATAAACATATATTTGATGTCTTTCATTTTAGGAAAATTACTTAGGTCCTTAATTAATTAAACATATCAACTACAAATTAATTAAACAACATTGGACTTGATATCTAATCAATACATATGACATATACGCTTCTCTTATAATCAAAGCACAGATAAAATAATAAGTTGTTTAAAGATGAAAAGTTGAAGTGGACTTTGTGGAGTTGGACACTTTTTGCCCTCTGCCTCTTTATATTGTTTGGATGTTTGATTGATTAATGTTTTCAAGTAGTTCATCATTTTTTGCCTCTAATTATATTTTTAATGTTTATAATTTGAATTAGCTAGTGGCCAAAAAAAAATCATGTGAAAAAAATTCAAATTAAATGGGTTAGTTCTTGGGCCCGATTATGGCACGAGCACGAGCATGGGCACGAAATGAGTCTGGCCCAGCCCGTTTCAATATGGACATGGGTTTTGGGCCGGGCCGGAATCAATGATTTTACTAAATGGGCAGCACGGCACGGCCCGATAAATTAAATGGGCCGGCACGTCAAGGCACGAAAATATTAAAAGTACGAGTTTAAATGGAACGGCCCGACACGACCCGTTTGACACTTCTATATGAGAACGTGCAGCAGCAACCTCCACAAGTCCAACACACAACCAATATTTATTGTGTTCACAACTCCCAACATTTATTGCTTTCACACAAGCTAACAACTTTTGCTAATCGGCCGAGTCATATGAGAGAGAGAGAGAGAGAGAGAGAGAGAGAGAGAGAACTTCCTTGCTTCTTGGATAAAGCCATTCAACTGTGCTTGTTCCTTCACTATCAATATTGTTTCATATACATGTCCAAACATTAAGCATCACTCTTATAAATTAAGCTTCTATTTTCTTGAAGCCCAAGTGATGAATTTCCGTGGCATGTTGTTCTATATATAAATATGCAAGACATCCACAGATTATTCAGGCCAAACCAAAAAGAAAAAAAGAAAGAAAAGAATAGCCACAAATCTTCATTTCGACAAGCAGCAGTTTGAAATTAAATGGCCCAAACAAATGAAAATGTAGTTTCCACGGAGAAGGAGCTGTTTGGGCGGCAAGTAAGCAGAGGAGGTGGGCAAGTAAGCAGAGGAGAAATTGAGCAAACTTCACAGGTGAGTATTACAATCCATGAGGAGGCAATAAAAACTAGCCCTAATGAGGAGAGACTCAAAAATTCAGTAAAGCAGTAGCAGAAGCGGCAGCAGCAGCAGGAAATTCAACAACTCAGGCTGCCAAACCAAAGATCCAAAGGGTTCCCTTCATGCTCCGAGATCACCAAAAAAACAACAAATACTACGAGCCAAGGGTAGCTGCCATCGGTCCTTTCCACCATGGTAGTAAACCAAAGTACGAGCAGGCAGAGAAAATCAAGCTTCAGTTAGCTGTGAACTTTGTCAAAGACAGTGCGCAGAACGAGGCAGATTTGCTCAAGAAGGTTGAAAATAAAATCAAGGATCTAAGGGAGTGCTATGCTGAGGAAGCAACAAAGAAGTATGACGATGATTCCCTCACGTGGATGCTGTTCGTTGATGGGTGTTCGATGCTGGAATTCATATACAAATATGAAATGTTAGAATCTTTTGAGATCAAGAGAGACCAGGTGGCCTTTGCAGAACATGACATGTTCTTGCTGGAGAACCAACTTCCTTATCAACTCCTCGAGCTGCTGATGATCTCGAGCACAAAATACGAGGACGTGAAGGACTCAATTGAGAGGTTTGTTCAGATGCACGGCGTTGCACCAGAGCCACAACGAGGTGCACAAAACACGCAACCGATTAAGCACGTACATATACCCATGGAACCAAAGCCAACTCATCTTCTTGAGTATCTTCTGACAAGAATGCTAGGATATCCACCAATCGGGAGGTCTGGTCAGATGCCCAGCGATGCATCAGAGGAGGAGCCACCACAACCGGGAGCAGGCGGAGCACGAAACACGCAATTGCGTGCAATTCATTTTCTTGATAATCTTCTGACAAAAATGCAAGAATATATACGTCGGAAAAAAAGGGAGACAAGTGCCAACCATCCCCAATCTTTTCGCAATGTACAAGAGCTTCAGGCAGCCGGGATTCGTTTTAGGCAGAGCAAGGAGCCAAGCGTATTGAAAGACATATATTTTAAGAGCTTTCTATGCTGTGGGTTCCTTTATCTTCCCAAAATAAAAGTAGACGACTCGATGGGGCCTAAGTTCATGAACTTGATAGCCTACGAAATGTGTCCCGATTTCCAGAACGATTTCGGGGTCACCTCTTACATAGGCTTCCTCGATTCGCTCATCGATTATGCGGATGATGTGAAGCATCTGAGGAAAAGCCACATACTTCGAAACTTTCTTGGGAGTGACGATGAGGTGGCTAAACTCTTCAATGAGATAGGCACTGACTTGGTGCCTAACACTGCAATTTACTACGATGTTAAACGCAAGATAGAAGATCACTACAAGACCAATTGGAAGAAATGGATGGCGCAATTCTTTCATGAACATTTCAGCAGCCCCTGGACTATCCTGGCTTTCATTGGTGTTCTCTTAGGGCTTGGGATGACCGCTGCTCAGACGTGGTACGCCGCCAATTCTGGTACCGCTCCATGTGAGGCCTTACTTGAGTACCTGAAAGACCGCGGGTACTAAAAGCACTACGTACTTCAGCCTTTCAGGTACTAAAAAATACATTTGCTGCTTTGCAATTTGTGTGCTGCATGGTTCTGTACGTCCCCCCAATTACGACTTCTTCTAGAGGTTTTCACAAGTCATAGCTTCTCAAGGTGCACCTCCCCTCACCGAAAGCTTCCTTGGGGATGCCGAAATTTGCCCCTTCGCTAGTGACCACCAATTGTTCGACTAAATGCCTCAAAAACGTTGTTTTGTTTGCTGCTAAGTGAGACACCGAATATTTACCTTAGATTGTTGGGCTCGATCTCACGAGCATGTAGGAGAAAAGGGTTCATCAATCCGAGCTCCACAACCAAAGTTATGAATTTTCTAAGTTTTTATGGAATATGTGAAGTTAAGTTGCAGAGCCACAGTTCGAGGAAGAAGAAGACTCCGCGTCAGCGCTTCTCTTTTTTTTTGTTTTTTTGTTTTTTGTTTTAAATGGTCCAATAGCAAGCTGAAACATGTCTATTTCTAATTGGCCTAACTTAAAAAATTCCTTAAAAACTCATATGTGTTTCGAAAAATTCACCGAAAATTACCCCGAACTTTTAATCACATGTACTTTTATCTCGTGACCTCCAAATCACTTGTGCTTTTGGTTAGATTAATTGGCATTGATTTTGGTTAGATTAATTGGTATTGACTTTTGTTAGATTAATTATGTAATTGACATGGATTTTGTTCATATTTGATATGAATTTTGGTAAACTAATTGTGTACTTACAAGGATTTTGTTCATATTAATTGATATTCCATATAGACTATAATCAATTATTATAGATGTAAAACTCTTACTATTTTAATTATGAATGACATTAGTTTTGTTTAAATTCAAAGGGCATTTGGTTGTCTAAATATTTTTTGAATTTTTAGCTTTTTTTTTAACACACTACACGGATGTTAGTACTTGAACCCAGGACCTTGTTTGAGTCTTTTGCGAATTTTTAACCCTTCAAATATTGCACATCCCTTGAAAATTTCCTGGATTCGCCACTGACTATCAGCAGATGTGACTAAAATAAGGCAAGTTGAACTTGTGTGCTTTTCTCTTAATTTGGTGGAACTTTTTCTTTTATTTTAGTTGAAGTTTGTGTGTAACATGCTTATTGTAAGCTGTCATTTCATAATCGATGTTATTCTCCGAAAAATAAAATAAATAAATAAATAAACAATTTGTGATCATGTGTGGCCTTTGTTGTAATTAATCCCTAAACTAATCATGCAAATACATGTTGGAAGCCTCTTGTTTGTTTTATAGCATCTTCAAACTTTAAAATAAAAATAAATAAAAAATAAAAAATAAAAAAGATATTGCAAGTGGGATCTCAAATTCTGTCAAATTTAACTAATAATATTATGTGAGAGTCAATGTGACTATTAATGCAACAAGTTGACACTATTAATCATATAATATCAAAGAATATTGTGTTTACTTTGATAAATCTTTTCACAAAATTGAGTTAGGTGAGTTAAATACAACCTTCGCTTACATCAATTTTGGAACTTTTTAGGACGACAAAGCACATTCAAACATTTTGACTTAGGTGACTTCACTTTGCTTTTTGGCGCACGTATTTATTTTGTTTTGAATGTCTAGCATTCATGGCTCAGGAATCTAGTTTAGTTATCTGGTGGTTTTTAGAGGATAATTATATCCCAATTGACGATTTTACAAAACCACTAGATAGAAAATTTATGGAATTTGACGGAAAAGTAAAAATTAGAACATGTGCGATAATTGGAGTATCAAAACGATTCAAAAATGTGTTGGAGGACCAATATAAAACTCGAGCACAAGTTCATAGACCATAGATACCGTTTAAATAAAGAAACTCCCGAAACCAAATGGAATGATAATAAGCTAGTCTCATCTAAGTGATACTATTTTATGATTTTAGTAGATGCATCTGCAAGATGGGTTTTCACCTTGTAAACATTAAGCCCACTAGGTATTCAAATTCCTTTAAGCAAAGCTTTACATTTAACTAAGTAGAGCATTAAAATGCCTGATTCTGTGGAGTAGGGAGTAAATAAACTGAGGGACGCAGAAAGAAGACTTGTTCCAGCTCCCGATGACAATTCAGCTAGAAGCTCAAGATCGAAGATCCAAAGTGTTCCAAGAATTCTCCGAAGTCACAGTAATTTGGATAAATGCTTCGAGCCAAGAGTATTAGCAATGGGTCCTATCCATCATGATAAGTGCATTGAAGCAGAGAAACTCAAATACACATTGGCAGCAGACTTTGTCAAGGATTTTGGCTGCACCTACGACCAGTTGTACAAGCAGATTTTGGACCGCATCGCTGAAATAAAGGACTTTTACAATAACGAAGCAACAAAGTGCTACGATGATGATGAGACACTCGCCTGGATGTTGTTCATAGATGCATGTTCAACCTTGCAATTCATGCACAAAATTGACCGCTTGGAAGAGTTTGGGATGAACAGAACCCAAGCTGCCTTTGCGCAGCTCGACTTGTTCCTGCTAGAGAACCAACTCCCTTATCAACTCCTCGAGCTGTTGATGAGCTCAAACCCAAAAAAAGGCAGCTGTTCAGAAGTATACAGAGTTTTGTTGAACTGCAGATTATTGCAGCAGAAATGCCACTGGACATGCAATTGAAGTTGAATAATAATAACGCGCGTGCCATAAGGGCAGCCTATTTATTTAAAGAAGCAGGAAACACTCATCTTCCTTCTCATATTCCTCGGCCCACTTATCATCTTCCTGATTATGGTCACCCCACTTATCATCTTCTTGATTTTCTTCGGGAAAGAATGCTAGGTCCACCACCAAAGGTTCCCAATGCTGATCATCGCAAAGAAGACAATTCACCATCTTTTCGCAATGCACAGGAGCTTAAGGCAGCAGGGGTTCATTTTAGGCGCAGCAAAACTAGCTCCTTGTGGGACATATCTTTTACTTCTCTAGGCCTTGTTGGATTTCTTAATCTTCCTCCAATTAACGAAGACGCAATGTCTTTGTTCTTGAATTTGATAGCCTACGAAATGTGTCCTGATTTCCTAAATAATTTTGGTGTCACCTCTTACTTCAGCTTCCTTAGTTCACTCATTGCTCATCCTGACGATGCTAAGCAGCTACGGTCAGCCCACATACTTTGCAACTTGCGTGGGAGCGACCAAGCCCTCGCCGACCTCTTTCATGAGATAGGCCCTGATTTGGTTCTTGCCCATCCCATGTACAGCTCTATCAATGCCAAATTAGAAAAACACTACAAGACCAAGTGGAAGGCATGGATGGCTCAATTTTTCGAAGATCATTTCAGTAGCCCCTGGGTCATGCTTGCTTTCACTGGAGCTCTAACAGCGCTTGTCTTAAGCGGCATCCAGACTAGGTACACAGTCTGCAGTTTTTATCAGAAATAGGTTTCCCTATTTACATTTCAATCCTAATGATGTGTTTATGGCAAAGACAACGTCATTTTAAGGTTTAGGATTTCTCCTCCCTTCTAATCTCTACAAGAATAAAACCAATCTAGTATACATTTTTTTTATCCTCTGTTTCCTTCAAACCCAGTTAATCAAATGAACAATTTAAATTCTTGAGTATACCTTTGTTCAATCAAATATTTCATCAAAGCCAACAAGCAGAAAAACACAGCAGGAAATCCACAAGCCACCAGCTGCACATTTTGTCGAACAAGTAATATGCATTCAACTATCTCACACTTGTCATACAAACCTTATCATTCCAAAATTCAGTACAACACCAGGAGATATCTCCAACAACGAACCACATAATCACATCAATGAACAATTTAAATTCTTAATTATGCATTTTCATGTGAACGTTTTCATGATTGGGTCATGGTCTCCATGAAAGCCTTGGTGGGAAGTCCCAATATTGAATTCTTAAGTCCTCAAAATGGGCCATGGTATTCGTCCTAGTAGATAGTCAGCGAATAGAGATAGAGCACCAGAAGTGGTGTTGCATTGAAACTTAGGGCTCGAGAATTCAGAGACGTGGTTGGGTGGGGCTTGAGAGTTGACAGGCCAGAGCCAGAGGATGCTCCAGACTATTTTGGAGTTTTTAATTTTTAATTTTTTTAAAAGCAAAATAAAAGAAGTTAACAGATTTAAGAGATATTTAGTGATATACCCATTCTTAGCACTAATATTATAAATAAACCATACATCATTGAATTTTTATAAACAAACTCAAAAAAACCTAAAAAATGACAGCTGGCTTTATTGAATTTAATATTTATTATTAAATTACTTTGATGCCCTATTGAGTGTTTTGAGTATTTTTATGAGATTTTGGGGTTGGGCTTGTTTTAAGAAATTGATGGCAGTCTTGTAATTTACAAGAAGTTAAAAGTCTCTTTGTTATGTTGTAAATGGACTTTGGATGTGTTTCTAAAGTCCATTTCATATAGGGTATTTTTATAATTTAGGCCCCTATATTGAGTATAATAGTGAATCTCCCTAGATTTAATTCTCTGTTAAATAGTAGGACACGAGGCCAAATGGAGGGACACAAAGGCAGTGGATCTGCTACCCATTATGTCTATTCAACTAGTAACTTACTGAAGATCCAGAGTTTTCCTAGAATTCTTTCAAGTCACATACATTATAGCATTTCCGTTTTTAAAGACTTGGAAGTATGTTTATTTGTCCCTTCTATTTTTAAACTTTCAATAAATATCTTGTAGGGCCTAAAAGATATTTATCGAATCAAGAGTCCTCAATAAATATATATATATATATATATATATATAAAGTTTTGATGACCCTTGATTCGAGGCCTTTGGTGACCGCCCTCGAAGCCTAGGCCTAAGGCTGACCGTCATGAGTTATTTGAAGTCCATTTTTTTTCGTTGTTTTCTTCTTATTCAAATTGTAGCATGCATGGATTGTAGTAGTCTAAACAAACAATTTGATATTATAATTTTATCCAAATCGCTATATTGGAATTACTCCATCTAAATCCTAATGAACTACGTGACTCGCGTTCTTGATCATTTTATTTGAAAATTTCTCTTCACGGATGCAAACTCTACTTTACATGTGCATCACATTATTGATTCTTATCGTAAAACAGTTGCTAGCTTTTTCATTCTTTTTTAGTGAAAGAAACGATCCCAGGTAAGTATTTTAGCAAGTCGTAATATTTATGCCAAGCCAATATTCATGATGAGCAAAACCCTCGCTTTTTTCAAGAGTGTGGTCCAAGATAACATATATATATGCCACTGCATGATTAAGTTACAGGCAAACAGAATTTTTATTTTATCTGATGGAGACAAAAAGCTTATCCTTATGATTGGTGTACTTACTAATAAAATATATACCAATCTTCCGATTCATATAAAGTCATGCAAGTGTACTTATTCCTTCACGAACACCATAAATATGTGTCATCCAAGTATATCAAGGATCTCTCTTCTGAATTAAGCTTCTATTTTCTTGAAGCTCAAGTGATGAATTTCTGTGGCATGTTGCTCTATATCTATGCATGCCATAATAGCCACTGATCATTCAGGGCAAACCACGAAAAAAAAAGAATAGCCACATATCTTCATTTCGACTAGCAGCACTTTGAACTTACATGGCCCGAAAATATAAACATGTAGATTCCGTGGAGGAGAGACTCCGAAAATTCAGGGAAGTAGCAGCAGCAGCAGAAGAAGCAAAGTCATCTCGGTATCAAAATATTAATGCCAAACCAAAGATCCAAAAGGTTCCCGTCATGTTCCGAGAAAATCACAAATATTTCCAAAGATACTACGAGCCAAGGGTAACTGCCATCGGTCCTTTCCACCATGGTAATCCAATCTGCCACGGGGGTGAGAAACTCAAGCTTCAATTAGCGGTAAATTTTGTCAGAGACAGTAAGCAGGATGCAGCAGATTTGCTCAAGAAGGTTGATGTGAACATCAAGGAACTAAGGGAGTGCTATGACGAGGTAGGCATGGAGTACTTTGACGACGGTTACCTCGCGTTGATGTTTTTCGTTGATGGGTGTTCGACGCTGGAATTCATATACAAATATGATGACTTAGAATGTTTTGAGATCAAGAGCGACCTGGTGGCCTTTGCAGAACAGGACATTTTCTTGCTCGAGAACCAACTTCCTTATCAACTCCTCAAGCTGTTGATGAGCTCGAGCAGCATACATGAGGACTTGAAGCACTCAATCGAGAGGTTTGTTCAGATGCACAGTGGTACACCATATCAGCGACAATGGGGAGCAGGCGAAGCAGGCGTAATAATAAGCACAGAACCAGAGCCAACTCATCTTCTTGAGCTTCTTCTGACAAGAATGCTAGGATATCCACCTAAAAAAGGTGAGCCAAGTGTCAACATTCGTCCCCAATCTTTTCACAATGTACAAGAGCTTCAGGCAGCCGGGATCCAGTTTAGGCCGGTAAGGGGACCAAGCGTATTGGGCCACATATATTTTAAGAGCTTTCTATGGCTTGGGTTCCTTTATCTTCCCAAAATAAAAGTAGACGCCTCGATGGGGTATAAGTTCATGAACTTGATAGCCTACGAAATGTGTCCCGATTTCCAGAACGATTTCGGGGTCACCTCTTACATAGGCTTCCTCGACTCGCTCATCAATTATCCGGATGATGTGAAGCATCTAAGGAAAAACGGCATACTTCGAAACTTAATTGGGAGTGACGAGGAGGTGGCTCAACTCTTCAATGAGATAGGCACTGACTTGGTGCCTAACAATGCAATTTACAGCAATGTTAAACGCATGATAGAAAATCACTACCAGACCAGGTGGAAGAAATGGATGGCTCAATTCTTTTACGACCATTTCAGCAAGCCCTGGATTTTGGCTTTCATTGGTGTTCTCTCAGGGCTTGGGCTGAGCGCTGTTCAGACGTGGTACTCCGCCAATTCTGATAACCCTTCATCTCCATGCAAGGCCCTACTTGAGTACCTGAAAGCGCGCGGGTACTAAAAGGACTACGTACTTTAGCTAAAGCATAGTCTGGCAGCATGATGAGGTAATTAACATATATATACGAACATGGTAATTATAATGTAATAAGTACACATCAACTGCACCTAACTTTATTGTGATCCCTTCAGACTTTTTCAGGTACTAAAAATGCATTTTCTGCTTTGCAGTTTGTGCGCTGCATGGTTCTGTACGTCCCCCCATACTAATTCTTCCAGAGGTTTTCACAAGTCATAGCTTCTCAAGGGTCCTCTCTCCATTTGGTAATTTACAGTGAGCAGATGGTGGCTAAAATAAGGCAAGTTGAACATATGTGTGTTTTTTTCTTAATTTGGTGGAACTTTTTGTTTGATTTTAGTTGAAGTTTGTGTGTAACATGCTTATTGTAAGTTGTCATTTGATAATCGATGTGATTCTCGGAAAAAATAAACTATAAATAAATAAACAATTTGTGATCCCTTAATTAATCATGCAGATTACATGTTGGAAGCCTCTTGTTTGTTTTATAGCATTCCAAACTTTATAAAATAAAAAAATTATATAAAATAAAAATTATATTGCAAGAGGGATCTCAGATTCTGTCAAATTTAACTAATCATATTATGTGAGAGTTAATGTGTTTGTTAGAGCATCCACAATGGAAGGATGAATAAGGGAGTGTATGTTAAATATACACCTCTTGTCACCGGAATCATCTCCAATGGGGAGATATAAAGAGTTGTAAACATACATTACCACCATGAAGATGTAAAATAAAATGCAAATTTGCATATATTTTTACATCTTTTGCAGGCGGGACCCACCCGAGAAAGGAGAGGAAAAATTATACATCTTAGATTTATATCGTTTCCCATTAGAGCAAAAAACGTATTTACACCCTACGGAGGTGTAAAGGGGATGTAAAAGTGGCTTTACACCCCCGAAAATACAGTCCCCCACTGTGGATGCTCTTAATGCAATAAGTTGACATCAGAGCAAGTCTTGACATTTTGAGGGCCTTGTATGAAATTTAAACTAGAGCCCTTATATAATCTAATATGAAAATACCAAATGTTTTTTGGCCATGACTTAATGTCATAAAACAATTTTTTTTATAACTAAAATTCATCTTCAATTAGCATGTAATAACAATCACAAACCAAATTCATTAATTTTTTTAATATTTTCATTTGATAAAGTTAAATATTAGTATGTTTGATAAAAAAAAATTACATTTCAAGCGAAAGAAGAAGGCATGAATTTTTTTTTAGTTTTGTTTTGAGCGGAATATATAGGAGAAAGCGCTAGAAATCAGCTTCACCAAATACACTTTTATGTCAAAGTGTTTCACGCTTGAGTATATATACCGGTTTTATAATATTAATATATATAACATAAAACAAAAAAAATTTCAGGGGCTTGTGAGGTAACGCCGCTTGCACCATATCAGGGCCACCCCTGGTTGACACTACTGACCATATAATATCAAAGAATATTGTGTTCACTCTGGTAAATCTTTTCACAAAATTGAGTCGGTGTGTTAAATAAAACCTTCGCTTACATCAAATTTGGAACATTTTAGGACGATAAAGCACATTCAAACATTATGGTTGAGGTGACTTCACTTTGCTTTTTGGCACACATATTTATGTATAATAATAATTTATACTTTTTAGCTGATTTTGTTTTGAATGTCTAACATTCATGGCTCGAGAATCTAGTTTAGTTATCTGGTGATTTTTTAGAGGAAAATTGTATCTAAATTGACGATTTTACCGGTCCAATAGATAGAAAATTAATGAAATTTGACAGAAAAAGTAAAACTTGGAACATGTGCGATAATTGGAGGACCAAAATGATTCAAAAATGAGTTGGAGGACCAACATAAAACTCGAGTATAACTATATAAGTTCATAGACCATTACAGATAGATACCGTTTAAATAAAGAAACTCCCGAAATCAAATGGAATGATAATAAGCTAGCCTCATTTAAGTGATACTATTTTATGTTTTCAGTAAATGCATCTGCAAGATGGCACCTTGTAAACTTGCATTTGCTAGACTTCTTATATACGAGCACAATTCCTAACGCTCCTAAGTTTACTTTCCAAAACTTTTGATAACTATTGCATGTGACTTGGGCATTGATGTTGAGTATCCAATTCCCCATATCCATATCCAAAATGGCTTAGCAGCAGTTTCTATTAAGCGTCTTGCTAGCACTTCGCTTTTGAGAACAAAGCCGCCAATTTCGGAGACACATGCAGCATCATACTTACGACTGAGAACCGTTACCAACCATCAATATTCACTTTTACAATCTTTTGCTCGGTTCAGAACTATTATACCAACCATCAATACTCTATTTTACAACTTGCTTTTGAGAGGCAACCCAATATTTCACATTCGAGGCTTTTTAGTTGTGAAGCTTATGTGCCTGTTGTTCCCTCACAATGCACTAAAATTGGTTCTTAACGTCGACTGCAGAGTTATATTGACTTTAATTCGCCGCATATTATTCGATATATCTTGAACCCTTCACGGGTGGATTTGTCGCAATAAAAAGCTCTCCGTCGCCTGGTTAATTTGTTAAACTAAACTTTGATGGTCTGATGCTGCGATCAGACTATGTAGCTGAGTGTCTTAATGCTTTCGGTTAATCATCTTAATGCTTTTGGTGCCTCTCTGTGTTACTACAGAGTATCAAATTGGTTGTGTTGACTAGTTTTTTTCTTTTGTTGTGGCAAATAAGCTTCTGCTTCCTGTGATGAGTTGTGAGTTTAAAGTTTTTAGTTGGACCCCAAGCATATAACCAGTTGTTCCTTTTGTAGAGTGTTTACAGAAGTTGCTTAGATACGAGAATAAAGTTGCAAGTAACAACTTTTTGGTTTTCCCAAGCAAGAGTTCATCCTTATACAATGATTGGCGTATATGCTAAACTTGTGATGAAGTTAAAGTCACTATCAAATGTGTGAATTTCAAGAAATCATTCTAAGCCTCCCATGCAAATAAAGTCATTATATTTGCCTTTTCCTTTTGGCCTGGAAAGTCACAAGATGTACTTGCTCAATAGCAAAGTGCACATCCAAATATATTTGAATAATAAGGGTGACAGATCCTCTATTCTTAGTTAAATTTCAAGTGCCTAAAACCTATGGTTTACTATAAAATGCAGAAACTAGGGAATATCAAAGCTTTGCTTTGTTTAGACAAGCACCTAAAAAAATAGCCTGAGATTGGAAGTGAAAAAACCATAGTTTCCATGGGGGATGTAAGGGAAAGACGTAAGGAGAAGAGATTCAAAAAATTGAGGGATGCACCAAAAAGTCTAATTCCCAGCTCGCAACCAAAGATCCAAAAGGTTCCCTTCATGCTCCGGGATCACAAAAATTTCGACAAATACTATGTGCCAAGGGCAGTAGCAATTGGCCCTTTCCATCATGGTAATCCAAGGTGCAAGCTGGCACAAAAATACAAGCTTATGTTGACATCAAAGTTTGCCAAATTTGTTGGCCAGAAAGAGGAAGATTTGTATAAGAAGATTGAGGAGAAGATCAAAGAACTAAGGGAATGCTACGTCAAGGAAGCAACAGAGGACATTGATGATGATAAACTCGCCTGGATGTTGTTCTTAGATGGGTGTTCAACCTTACAATTCATATACTCCCTCATGAACAAGCATGAAGAGTTTGAGATCAAAAGAGACCAGGTAGCCTTTGCACAGCAAGACTTATTCTTGCTGGAGAATCAAATCCCATATCAAGTCCTCGAGCTGTTGATGAGCTCAAGCAAAAGCAACAAACGTGAGGATTTGAAGTGCGCAATCGAGAGTTTTGTTCAGATGCACATTATTGTACCCATAGAGAAGCAATCAAAAGGGCAGGAACAGAAGCGCCAACCAGAAATAACAGAAAACAGGGAACAGAAGCACCAACCAGACACAACAGCAAGCACGGAACATAAGGTAGACATAACAGAAAACGCAGAAACAAAGCAACAAGAAGGCTTAACAACGGACACTGATCAGAAGCAACAACCAGGCGTAACAACAGACGCGAATCAGAAGCAACAACCAGGCGTAACAACAGATGCGAATCAGAAGGAACAACCAAAAGAGCCCATTCATCTTCTTGACCTTCTGCGCAAAAGAATTCTAGGTCCACCAAAAAAGGATGTTCAACAACCAGGCGTAACAACGGACGCGAATCAGAAGCAACAACCAGTCGTAACAAGAAGCACGGAACAGAAGCAAGAACCAGACACAACAGCAAGCACGGAACATAAGGTAGACATAACAGAAAACGCAGAAACAAAGCAACAAGAAGGCTTAACAACAGACACTGATCAGAAGCAACAACCAGGCGTAACAACAGACGCGAATCAGAAGCAACAACCAAAAGAGCCCACTCATCTTCTTGACCTTCTGTGCAAAAGAATTCTAGGTCCACCAAAAAAGGATGCTCCAAAGAAAGAAGTTGAAGAGTCCCCTAAACAAACTTTTCGCAATGTGCAGGAGCTTAGTGCAGCCGGGATACATTTTCAGCCCAGTAAGACTAACTTCTTGGGGGACATATCTTTTAAGTCTCATTGCTTTGCAGGATTCCTTAGTCTTCCTCCAATATCAGTGGACGACTCAACAGGGCCTAAGTTCAGGAATTTGATAGCCTATGAAATGTGTCCTGATTTCCAAAATGATTATGGGGTTACCTCTTACATAGGTTTCCTCGATGCACTCATTGATCATGCTGACGATGTTAAGAAGCTAAGGTCAGCGTCTGTGCTGTTCAACTTTCTGGGGAGTGATAAGGAGGTGGCTCAACTCTTCAATGAGATAGGCACTGACTTGGTGCCTAACATTGCCATATACCTCAGTGTTAAAGCCGAATTAGAAAAGCACTACAAAACCAAGTGGAAGACCTGGATGTCTCAGTTCTGTCACGATCATTTCAGTAGCCCCTGGACTATCCTGGCTTTCCTTGGGGTCTTATCAGCACTTGGGTTAAGCGGCATCCAGACTTGGTACACAGTCGCTTCTTAACCCTCTCCCTGTGCCAGTACTTGAAAACACGGCTACTCATAACCTGAGAGATACATACAGTTACTAAAATACATGCTTCGGTTGTTTTTACATGCATTTCTTCTTTCTGGTTTGTTTGGCTACATGGTTTTATACCTTCTAGTTGCCGGTGCCTGTACTGGTATCCAACCTTTCAGTTCTCATTTAAATTTCTGTGTGTGCAAGTGTGACTATAATAAGCCAAGTTGTCTTAATTGGTTGAGGTGTTTATCAGAATGTAATTTAATTTTGTGTGGCCAATGTGTTTGTAAGTTTTCGTTTAAGCAACCAAGTGATTCCATATGTTGCATATTTTATGAGTTTCTGTAAACTAACCAGCATGTTACATGTTGTAAGAAACATTTCCTAAACATTTCAAAAGCCTCTTGACAAAATTGGTCAGGTGCACAGCAACCTCAGCTTAAATCGAATTTTCTGTTCAAATTGACAAAACCAAATGCAGCCACCCAAAAAGCTCAGCTTGAATCGAATTTGGGGTTACATTTTAAGTTCTAACCGACCTCAATTAGACCAACTTCACAAAAAGATTAGTCCAAACATTTTCAGATGAGGTGTAAACAAGCTTAGTCTAAACAATTTTAGAAAAGGATTGAGATTAGAGTTTTTTGCTTTTTGTTTCAGCTTAATGATTTTCTTGGTTACTTCTTGTTGTGACCCTATGAATTCTGCATCAACTTCAATTAACTTTTCCATCTTCAAAACCTGGCCTATACAGCTCATGATTTAGAGGTAATGTATCAGCAATGCAACAGTAACCATTATTCTTTCTTGTTCGTTTCCTTTTTTCTTACAAACCAAAATGGGTAAACCGACAGGACAAGAAAACTAACCTTCATTGATTTGATTGCACAGCATTAAAAAAAATCAATAAATAAATAAACAAATTGACTTGCAAGTAAGCACACAACTAGGTAAATTATTTGAAATTTAAAATAATTAAAGCCATGTTCAACAACAAGAGTTTCTGTAAGCTAAGTATTGTACATATAATAATAAGGTACAGATGATTCCTTTTTCTTCCTTTTTTTTTCCTTTTTGTTATAAAAAAAGAGTAGCTGATTCATAATGATTTGCTGACAACTATTAGCAATTGTAAGTATTTTCAAAGATGCAAATTTATCAACGCAATTTGCTTAATACAAATAACATCAGTCCTAATCTCTATCCTGTATCAAGTTGTTGATCATCTTTACCAAAGGAAGAGTCCCCTTTGCCATAATTTCTATTCTACTAGCATTAGAAGCATGAGAAAACAGTGAAAGCCCAAAAAATACAAGATCAGGTAGAAAGAGTCGAGATGACAAGAATCCGTGCCAATAACGGGGTTCTAGATCAAAGAATGCATTGAAAAACCTCCGAGTACTTTTCAAATCAAGCTTAAGCAGAATAGCCATACCAAAACAGAAAAACTCCCTTTGTCTCCTCCTTTCTATGGGCCATAAATCTTTCCAAACTTCTGCAGACAGTTCATTTCCTGAAAGAATTCGATCAGAACCAAGGTACTGAACTATCGCATTTGCAACAATAGGAGCCGCTGCCAGAGTCCTTGCAACCATATAACCAGTTGAAGGATGAACCATCCCAGCTGTACCACCAATTCCAACAACTCTTTGAGGGAGCACTGGAAGGGGGCCCCCCATTGGAATGACACAATGCTCATCCTCTTCAATGCTCTTAATTTTAATGCCTAGGTGCCTTAACCTAGCAACCATCCTATCCTGGATATCTTTCATAGGTACTCCAGGCCTAGCTACCAGGGAAGTTTCTTCAAGAAATATCCTATTGGATGAAAAAGGCATTGCATATAGAAAAGTAGGGATCCTAGCATTTCTCTCCTTCAGTTCGATATTATTGTTCAAGTGTGAGTCTCTCCAATCCATAAAAACCATCTTATCTACATCAAATGGATGCTCTTCAACCTCCGCCAAAATCCCATAAGCCACTTGGTAACCTGGATTGTAGGGCTTATCATACTGTACAAGGCATCTTGAAAAACCAGTTGCATCAAGAACCACAGCAGCTTGAATAGTGACACCATCATTGCAAATCAACAGTGATTTTTCCTCCTCGTGAATAACCTTATTTACTTTAGCTTGGTGAAATTTGACACCATTCGATATGCATTTTTGCAGCATCTTGGACTTAAGCTGCTTCCTGTTAACCCTTCCATAAGGTCTGTCAAGATCCTTTTTCGTCTGCTCATCTATGAACACAACAGCACCAGACCAGGTAGTGTCCAGGCAATCAAGCAAATCCATGGCCTCAAATTCATCCACCCAAACACCATAATTATTGGGCCAAATTAATTTGGGAGACGGGTCAATCGAGCAAACAGAAAGCCCTGCCGCTGAAACTTGCTGTGCCACGGCAAGTCCTGCAGGACCGCCGCCTACAACTGCAAGGTCCACCACAAGACCCTTTGATGGGTCATACATGGGAAGCTCAAAGTCAAGACTCTCCTTCTTGGTTTCTGGAACAAGCTCCAGAAGAGCACTGCTACTAGCCTTAACAAGACCAGTCCGGCTCAATTTCATATGAGACTTTCTAAGGCCACATCTCAGCTCCTGGTTTTGAAGCTTCGAAGAATTCAAATTACTAACTTTCTCTGAAAACCCATGAAGCGGGTGCAAAAATTCAAGCTTGTTATGAGTTTTAAGTAATGTATCCATGAATTCCCAACACTTTTCCCAGATATCTCCCTAAAACTCAAACTGGGTCGCCTGAAGTTCCTGAAACTACAGTCTGGGCGTGAAGAATTCTCGCAGTTCTCAACTGAGAACTCAAAATTTCCGAGATGGGTTCTCTTTAGCAAACTTAATTTTCACACATATATACAGAAAACAGCAACTGGAGCACTAGCATTAAAGCCAGAACAATCCTTTCAATCCTGAAAAGATTTTTCTGGGAATTTGGAAGAACAAAAGTACAAAAATCTACAAGAGAGGAAGCTCACAGTGAATTAAAGTAGAGAACTTATTGCTTACCAGAGAGCTGAGAGATATGAGAACGAGAGAAGAAATCATTTTGCAGCCCAAACTCTCCGAGTGACCCAAAAAGATTTGTAAGGTAAAGCATGTGTGGCCTGTTCTTGACGACGACAAACCCAAGTGGTATGTGGTGGATGTCAACTGTGCCTCCGTGTCATGAAGTGGCCCGCTGAATCCCGTCACAGTTGAGACACGTGTCAACGTGATCATCATTGTCCATGCGTTCTTCCTTTGTGAACCAATAATGGAGGTTTGAGTCACATCATTTAAGTGACCAATTTTTCTAGTGCAAGTTTACCTCTTAAGTGCAAATTTTGGTAAGTTGCCATTTAAGTCACATCATTTAAACTTTTCTTTTTCAGCTAATTAAAGACGTCATCTTCAAGATACTATGCAAATGAGCTAGGCAAATATGTAATTCAACAATTTAAGTGACATGTTGTTTATGCATTCGTTAAGTTGATCACTCCAATCAACTCGATAATATAGTTGTATTAACTATTATTTTATTATTTTATTTTTATATTTTACATTTATTTTGTATTAACTTTATCGAATCGATCCTGTTTTAGAATATGTCTTTCCTTGGATCTCTAAGGCCATGTAAGAATTTACGGATTGAGAATGGGATGTTTGTATTGACTTTGTTTGATAGTTTAAAGCCCATTTGTTAATTGGGCAAGTTTGATTTCTTGTTTAATTATCGTTTATAGCAAGATGAATTTCAGTGTTTATGAATTTATGAATTTATTGCTTTACATTTCAGTTCAAGTGTGATGTATTTATGTTTCTTATTCAGATATGGCTTGGGATGATTTTAAATGTATACGCATGTTCATAAATGGTTTTTGCAATGTTGATTATTGGAAAAGGAATTCAGTTAAGGATTTGGAAAAGGATTTTTATAAGTTTCCTTTGGGAAAGAATATTGCATGTACCTTTAGTTTGGATACAGGTGTTCGACCAAGAGAATTTGCCTGTACCCGGCTAGTAAATTGCATGTACTCATATACATATACGGGTGTCCGGCCAGTGGGTTGCATGTACATGTATTGATATTGCTTTGCAGGTGTCCGACCACAAAATAATTGCCTGTACCTGTATTGATGTTGCTCTACATGTGTCCAGCTATCAAGGAATTGCCTGTACCTGTATCGAGGTTACTCTGCAGGTGTCCGACTAGGATTTCCCAAAGAATGGATTTTAGATAAAAGGCTTGATCTTAGGAAAGGTACGGAGTTAAAATTGTAATGGGATTGAACGAATGAGTTAGTAAGGTTTCGCGATATGAAAGTATGTATATAATTCAACGGTACCAAAAGCAATTGATGTCTATGTATCTGGATGATTTCTTTTTGGTTTTATGGTAGAAAGAATTACTTGTGGCTTAATCACTTAAGAAAAGGAGTACATAGGTAGCCTAGGGTTTCAACTTGGTTCAGTAGCAAAATAAAATATATTTTGGGACTTTAATATGGTTATTGGATTCAAATCCTATTTAGTATTTTTGTTGGGTTTGGTTTTGAATATGTCGGTGGGCTTGAAGCCCGATTGAAACTTGAGCGAGATTAAATGCTTGTTTACTTATCAATTATTACTAAATGGATGTTAATAGAATGTATATGCGGCCCAACAATAATGCTCAATTACCAAATATCCAAATATCGAAAACAAAGGTAATGTTATCCAAACGAAAATAAGACAATAATAGCTCAATTACTACATATCCCAAAGATCCAGAAGCATGCATCCAAAATAAGAGCACCACGGCTCAATATCAAAATATCCAAAAAACTACCAATTGTATCCAAAATAAGAGCATGAAAGCTCAATTACTGCATATCCCAATGATCCAGAAGCATGCATCCAAAACAAGAGCATCACAGCTCAATACCAAAATATCCAAAATACTACCAGGTCAAACATGTGTAACAAACAACCCCCAGGAGACTTGGAAGAGTCGTGCTAAAAAACCTTTTAGTTCGAGCTCGCTCAAACAATTGAACTTTAATGACCCATAGAATGGACAGTTTTGCCCTAAAAAAGGGCATCACATGCCTCCCACGTGACTAATTTGACGACAAGATGGATGAAATATATGAAAAATTGACTGCCGGGGGGGAGGGGGGGATGGGCAGTAAAATTTAATTAAGGTACTTAATTTTCTATTAAAAAAATATATGGGGCAAATCGAAAGTAAAATGCGGAGTTTATTACTTTATTACTTGAACCATTTAACTTAATTTATAATATGTGTAAACAAAATAAGAAGTTTATTACTTTATCATTCATATTACATTATTTTGATTAAGTATAAAATGAGGTCAGAGAGTGCATCAATTAAATCTTAAAAGAACAAGGGCATATGCAGGCGAACCTTGGGCGTGCCGAGGGTTTCAAATCTTAAGCCCAAGCCCTACCTAACCTTAGAATGGGCGTTGTGTCATTGGACATGTGCCGCGTCATCAATCTAACAGACTTTTGGACGGAACATGACGACATGGACTACCTGGGAGCACGCATGTTAACATCGAGGACCACGTGGGGACTTCTCACACACATACTATCAAGGTGCCATGGGGATTCAAACCTGAGACCATATAAAAGCGATATTAAGAGAGGGAGGAATCAAACCTAAGACATGGGGTGACTTATTCATAAGTAAAAAATCTTGATTATAGAAATCCATTAAAAAAATCCTTTAAGTAATTATATTTTGCTTAAATATGCAAGACTTTTTTATCCCTAAATAGTCTTTTAAAATCTCAATTGAATACACCCTTAAAATTAGATGATGACGTCCAGTTTTTACACCGTATAAAAGCATATGTTAACTCTTTTGTTAGAAAAGTCAGCCACACTATTAATATGAGAATAAAGGCCATTAAATGGTAACATTTTTAAAATATATTTTTGTGAAATGTTTCCAAATAATGAAAATGAGAAAACAAATTTGTATTCTCAATATATTACAAAGAACAATTGGGTGATTTGAAGCAACTTTCGTCGAAGACAATGTACACCCAAAATTAGAGAAAATGAGCAGTGTTAGAGAGCGAGTTTTGGGAAAAGGATTTATTCGAGAAAGCCTAAAAGGAGTGATGTCTACTTCTATCTAAGAATGGCTCAAAAGAAACCACCATAAAAGCTTTCTTATTCAAAATGCCCCAGTAGACTTATTCACTAACTCAAAAAGAAAAAGGCGATGAGAGAGGAGGGGAATAGAGGAGGAGGGGCAATGACGCGCTTCTTCCTCCGACTCTATGGAGTTTTTCTTTGGAATTCACAAAGGAGAGAACGGCTAGGGTTTCGGTAATTTTTTTTGTTTTTTTTTGCCTAGTAGCTTAGTATAAACTAAAAATGATCAAATGTGATCTTTCATGAAATTGCATCAACTAAAACTATGTTTAGCCATTTTAGGCCATCTCCAACCATTGGGGTGGAAACCCAAATTTTCAGTTATGAGTCTAAAATTCTTCTCCAACCCATGTATTTTGGAGGGTGGAAATGTGAGAAATGTCAAATTTGGGGTGGAATTCCAGTCCAAGTTTTGCATGGAGTGGTAATTTATGTGGAGCCCAAATTTTGCTTTATTTATTTATTTTTTGCGTGGAAACCCATATGGAGAAGAAAAGTTGTTGGGCCCTGCGTGACAGCTTTGCTGTCTGGCCAGCAGAGTTGTGTGACACAGCTGGCAACTCCAGCAAAGGTGATTCCAACGTCTAAAAATTCAAAAAGGTGTGCTGTTTTTAAAAAAAAATTCCAACGGCTTTATTTTACATCAACGATCATGATTAATTTTAGGCAATCTGAACTGTAAAATTTCACATTCAACGACTCAAATTTAAATCCAACAGTCAAAATAATATTTATAATTAATCTAAATAAGATCCAACCCCAAAACTTATTCCAAACTCTATAAATAGCCATTCATTCGGTAAATAATCCACAAAAAATTATTTTTTTTTCTTTTCTCCCTTTGTTATATTTTTTCATTCTACTTTCATTCCTATTGAGAATGGCCTCAAAATCCCAAAGAGGCGTGAATAACCATAAGAAGATAAGGCATTGTGCAAAGAGTAGGTTTCCATCTATGAAGATGGGAGCTATTGGCACCAATCAATCAAACGACTCATTTTGGTTGCGTGTGTACCAAAAGTTTTTGGGAAATAATCCGGGCATGAGCAGAGCCAGGGTACAATCACTGTTAGATAAAAAATGTAATAAGGAAATTAAAAATTCACCCAACATAATCTCACTCTTATTTACAAATAAGAGTTTTTTATTATTTTTAATTACCCATTCAAGATAAAAATATCTCTTAATTATAATCTCTTTGGAAAGAGAAAGACCCTTTGATTCCAATATGAAGAATGAAATAAATAATGGAATTTGATTTGATGTTGCGGTTGCATCCAGGGAACCCTAGATTGCCTACATACCCCATTTTAGGGATCAAGCCTTTTGTAGTTCTCACACAATTTTATTGGACTTTCAAGGAATGAATGACTCCTTTGAAAGAATTTGTGGTATGAGAAATATTTTATGGAATTTGGATGAATGTGGTTGGACCAGGGATTCAATTTGATTTTATGATTGAAAAAGTGTTTGGGGCGAATTTGGTTAAGGTAAACTAGGGATTTTGTTTGGACTTGCAGTTGTATTTGGATTGAATTTCCAAATTGCCTACGTATCCTTGGCAGAATCAAACCGGACGTAGTTTAGAAAAAATTTGATTGGACTTTCAAGGAATGAATGACCCCTTGAAAGAATTTGTATGTTTGAGATATTTGAATTTGATCTCATTGAAAATTTGCAGGGTAGATGACCTATGAGAAAATCTGGATATGGAGTAGTTCAAATCAATTCAAACTGGACCAGATTATATATATCTCTTCAACTACTCATCTGTCACAATCAATACGGAGCCTTGGGTCTGAGATGCAAAGACCAAGGCAAGACCTTTCCTTTGCTCATGTCTGTCAAAGCAGACCATGTAGTTCACTAAACATGAATTGAAAGTCATGGAATTTAAAGAGGCCACGTCTGTTTATACAGAGCTTGTTTTGCTACTTTTTTTGGTTTTTTGTGCTTTTCTTCTTTCTTCTTGCGAGCTTTCTCCCTAAGCTCTTGTTGTTTGGCTTTTAATTGCTCTGATGTGAGAGAAGGTTTTGGAGCCTCAACTTTGGTGTTGACTAGTACTGATGGCATTATGTTTGGATTATTTTCATGTTCCACCACCCAATTGGCTGTAGCCTCCAAGCTAGCATAGTGAAGTGCACGAGTTGGGTTTCATAGAGAGAAGAGAATTTTCAAGGCCATATGGCCTCAAAGTGATGCAGTGTATTCAGACGAGCCTTTACATGGCTCCTTTGCTTATTTTTTTATTATTCGTCTTAACAGAGCAGCAGAGCCTTTCTTGTTGGCTATGACCTCCATCCTTTTCTTTTTGTTTGCTGATGCTTTGGTGCATTCTTTTCTTCTTTATTTGTTAAAGACTCCAAGGCTCTAGGGAAATTGAGGGGTGCAAATTAATTCTCTTGTGCTTGACTTGGAGAAGTTTTGGTTTGACAAGAAGACAGTTTTCTTTTGTACAAAAACCCCTTGAATATCTTTGTCTTTCTGTTTGTTACTCAAAAGCACCTGCATTATTTTCATGAGTATGTCTATAAACACCTGCAAGATTTTCATCAAATATGCCTATGAAGACCTGCAAGATTTTCATCAAATATGCCTATGAACACCTGCAAGGTGCTCATAGCACTCAATACAGTGGGGTTCTTACGGAAGCCCATATGTATATTTTCACAATAAGGAGGTCCTTGCGAGAGCTCTCTCTTGTGTGATTTCTTGAGATTTCTCTAAAAGCAGGGACATGATTCTTCAATTATTTTTTGAGAATGATGAATTTCTTTTGGCTGCAGTAGTCTCATGAGACTTCTTTGACAGCAAAGACATGGAGGAATTTCGCAATGCACATTCTCAAAGCCTTTATGAAAGACAGCAGCGGAAGGGGACTTTGAACTTTTGATAGGAAGTCTGTCATCAATTTGGCGCCCCATGACTGTTATTTAAAGGTCGACTTCCGTGTGATGCTCAGGAAACGTCATTTGCAAAGGCTTGTTTAATTAAACTTCGCATAAGATGTTTGAGTTTTGAGCAGCAAGGGAATATACTGCACAAAGAAACATGATGAAATTTTCTGGCGGAAGAAATAAACTTTATACCTTGCCTTTCTTCTACCCTTTTCTTTCTCTTCCTCCTTAATCAGAATCCCAACAAGCCTCTTCGTTTTCTCTCCAGATTTTCTTTCCTGCAGCAGCTTTTATTTTTGCCTCCTTCAGACTTCTCGCCCCTTATGTGCAGCCCTTTGGTTCCTCTCTGCATTTTCTCTCCTGCCTCTGTTTCTGCCCTTCTTCCTGCAGCACCTCCTCTTTTTTTTTCTGCCCTCTTTTGGTCCCTTTTTATAGACCCAAAGGAACTGACAGAGTGGAGCCAGTTATGGCCTCACGTACTGTGTGGGTGGGAGTAACTTCCCATTACAGTCACCCCCTCAACGTACATGTTTTGTTACTGCTTTCAGTACGTTAATATTTTCTTTGTAAAAATATTAATATTAATTCATTTGGGCGTAAACCAATTTAACAACAAGCCCACAAAACCATTTTAGCTATGAGCCCAACTTCTTTAAACTTGGGCCAAAATTTAATTTGCTGTCAATGAATATTTTTATTTCAACAATCACTGCAAGCTATCGTTTCTCGGTTCAAGATTCAACCAACAATTTTCTCTATGGAAGGCATGTATGACAAATGCCAATGCAAGACATGTGATTGGCTTCAATCTTGAATATGTGATGAGTACCCATTTTTTAATGCTTAAATTTATAATTATAATTCTTTTTAATTATTAACTTGATTTTTATTTTATTTCGTGGGTAAGATATGAATGCAAAAACACTTTTCTTGAATGATAATAAACCTCCTAATAGGCCTTTCAAGTTGTATCATGCTTGGCAAATCTTAAAAAATTGCCCAAAATGGAACGACCTATGCGAATCTCCCACACAAACATTCAAAGATTCTTCCCATAATGGCAATACAGTCAATTTGGAGGAAGATGAAGATGATGTGGTCATGCCCACTCAAAGGTCGTTGGGAAGAGATAAACAGAAGGATGAAAAAATAAAAGGGAAAGGTGTTGAAGGTTATCTCAACCAAAGTGGAAAGTTCTTGTCTAAATTGGTTCAACAAGGAAATGAGGCAAAGGAATATAGGAGTGAAAGTTAGAGCTCCTACAAGAGCAGCATGCCTATCAAATCCAACAAGATAAGAATGCCAATAAACAGAGGATAAGGCTAGATGCGACGCTAGAAACCCGTCGTGAAAGGTCAAGCATACATTGCAAATGCCTTTTTACGATGGTCTTGTGATGCTTGTTCACGCGACACAACCAATTGGTGTCACAAAAGGTTCTTATGCTTATTACAACGGTTTTACCCGTCGTGAAAATCAATTACAATGGCAAGCACAACGTCGCAATTGTTTCTTCGTTGGATTTAAAAATAATTTTTACGACACTTTGAACCCGTTGTAATAGTAATAACAATGGCTATTGAATGTCATAAATACAAATACATATTCAACAAAAACAAGATTTACATAATTTGTTTTTAATATTCACAATAAGAGTAATACACTCACCAAAACTAAAATAACATAGTATATTATGATATATTCAAGTATTTTTAGTATTACTAACATTAATATAATTAAAAAAAACCATTCATGTATCACTGTTATATTTGATATATTAACTAAACATAAGTAACAATCACGGAAAGAATAATTTAAAGTCAAAGGGCGAACAACATTGTCTCTAAAGTGAATAAACATATTTTTGGTTTCAAATGTCCAAACAAAGTTCACAAGATTAAACTAAGAGCATTATGATTGTACAAAACCTGAAAAAAGAAATTTAAAAACCATTAATAAATTATTTTAAAAAATTACAATTTTTCTTGAGTAGTAAATATTTGTGAACATATACCTTTAATGAAAACAATTGCTTCATGCTTTTATGCTTCTGGGTCAAATTGATGTTGCTGTTCACTACTCACACTAAGTCTTCGTTGGTGTAGGCTTGATGCATCTGGAATCTATAACTCACCAATTTATATATATACACACACATAAAAAGTTAGATGGAAATCAATATTAATTAACTCTTCACTGTAATTTATTCTTTATAATAAAGTAAAAAGATATCAAAGTTACACTAAAACATATTATACATGTCCACTTCCGCTTTCAATTGGGTTAACTTGGAAACCAACATGAGCTTTCATGAGATGGATTTGCGAACTCAGATCCTCATACTTGAATGAGATCTCCAAGTTTAGATTCATAATGAGACTAAGATCATCTATTTGAGATTGGTATTGTCTCTCTAGCTCTTCTCGTATACTATTCTCCTTAATGTCAGAAACTCTTGAAATTTGACCAAACACTTGAGATGGAGTAATACCTGTCCGATACATACAAACATGTCCATGTCCATCAGTCCCATAACTTTAGTAGAGACCTCCTCTCTATAATCCTCGTCTTGTTTATGCTCCTCCCTTTCTTCCAAGTACTGATTGAATTGATTCTATAAAATCATAATGCAATATTGAACTTAGTCAAAAGATACAACATATGGACAACCCCACATATTCGTTTTTTTTTCTTTTTGGGTCAATATTCCACATATACTTTCAGAAGAAAAAAAACTACATCATACTTACAATAATATTTGCTCATAGTCAAAAACTTCCCCATCGTCATTCTTTTTTTATTTTTTCTTGTCTACATAAACAAGCTCAACCGATATGTTTTCTATCATTTCTCTTCCATCTTAATAACAAAGGAAATTTAACCATGTTAGCAATAAAAATTTCTTTATAATAATGCTGTCAAGTTTGGCCATAGATTTTTTCCTAGATAAAATTAAAATCTGGAACCACTGCATGCTTAAAAAAAATAAAAATAAGATTAGCACTCTTAACTTATTTTTCACTTTAGCAAAAGAAGTACGACCGATCCTATGAGGGGCACTTCTTAGTGCACAATTAACCTTATTTGCTTTAGAACATCCCTACAATATGATTAATTCAGTCAACATTCATTACTACTATAAACTCAGTAATTGTATCTTATGTCTATGTACCTTAACATCAGGTAGACCCCAATACTTTACAAGTATCTTCCATTGGTCTGTAGGGACTTGAGCAGCAGTGATGGCTAAACGCTCTTCATTGGTCTCATATTTGGTAAGTCGACATTTCCAATCTCCCCATCTGTTACCAACTACCTTTAAGCAATGGGATCTATATGTGTAAGGGACATCTGTGTTATCCTACAATTAATAGATAGTAACCAGTAAAAAAAAATTAAAAATACTAGCATTTCACCAAAAAATAATACTAGCATGTTTGAAATTAGTCTTTTGTTGTTTACCTGCACATCTTTCCAAATGTCATCTAATATATGATCATGCATACCACTCCATGAAACTTTTGTCAGAGAGACCTTTCGGGCATTTCATGCTATAACTCCCATTTGTGTGCTAAACTTTTGTGCATTTTCTTTTATTGGCTTCCATTTCCATTTAGTATCAAAATCAATGTGCAATTTTTTTCTAGTCCCCTACTCAGCAATAGAACAAGCAGCTCCCCGACTATTGATGGTAGGCTCAATTTCACCTAGAGTAAAACATTCAATATGATTTCAATGATGAAATAAATCACCAAATAAAGCAAAAAACAATGGTTGTTTGGCCATAATAACCTATTTCATTTGATGGCGTTATCAAAGGCTCGTCCTCATGACTAGGAGTAGACAAATTGGGGTGACATTGTTGTGTCTCTAATTGAGACTGTGTCGGTCTCACAGTTGATGCTTGTTGTTGATATTGAACCGACACAGATGATCGTGCTTGTGAACCGACACAGATGGTAGGTTGAGGCCGCCTAGATACAACAAGTTGAGGTTGACTTGAAATTGATCCATCTAGCTGAGATGATCATGCTTGTGATCTACTCTTTTTAGCTCTCACAGGAGATGTGGAATCAATTCCTCCATTGATTGTTCTCTTACTCTCTTGAGGGCCATAATCTATTGCAATAAGAAAAAAAAACATAATGATTCCTCTTAAAAGAATTGACATGTATAACCAATTACATGTTCAAACAAAAAATAAAAAACCAATTATCTGTAAAAGCCTGCATACTCCATATATAGTTTGTTGTTCTTATGTCTTAAATATATATATTTATACATATAGACGAGCTAGCATTATATAGAAGAGTAACTACTAGAATTATTGATGAATAATGTATTATAATAATTAGAAAAAGTCAGCAATAAACAATGTCAATAAACTATTTGAAGAAAGACATTGATAAGTATTCTCAGTCGCATTCTTCCATCTCAGCTTCTTCTGTCGAAACATTCATGTCTACTGTCATTCCATCTACTCCTTCCCTCACGCAACCAACATCTTCATCATTCAAATAAATAATTTCCTCCAATTGCTGGGGTGCATATAACTCAACTTGAGGTACCATCGCCGGACTGTGATAAGAATCTTTGGAATACATATCAAATAGATCTCTAACAGTCATATTAAGAACAACATGCCAATCTGGATCCACTAGGTCTTGTACATAACAAACTTGCTTTGCCTGTTGTGCTAAGATGAAAAGCTCATCCCCTATTGCATTATCTCTGTATAACAACTTATTAAAATTCACTAACGTGAATTTAAACTCATCTTCTTTCACTCCACCAAGACCATTAACCAAATCACACTTGAACAAAACAAATTTCATGGCATTGGTATATCGAATCTCAACCACATCTTTCAACACACCATAAAAGATGACATCACCTAAGCGAGGATTACTGTCCCTAGCACTTGCATAACTCATAGTGTCTGCTTTCAAAACAACCCCAGAATTTTGAGTGGTTCTATTTTTTTTCAGTTTCTTTCATACTAAATTTGGAGCCATTGATTACATATCCTTTGAATCTTTGTGAAAATTGGTTTGGACCATTTTCCAAATTGATAATTTCTTCAGAAAATACAACATTGGTGGTTTGCATTTGTGTCTGAACCTACATAATATCATTACAAGAAGTCAAATGGGAAACAACTTTGATTTAATATATCTATATATTAACTATACAAATGTAATAATTTAAAATACTTACATAAGTTTTAAACCATATATGAAAGGTCTCATTATGGACTTCTCTAATATAATGATTTGCTCTTCGAGGCATTTCTCGTGCAAGTATTTCAAGGTGTTGGCTGTGTACATGAATGTTATTATTTAAAAAATGAATTAAGAAGAATTCAAGATAAGAAAAATAACTATACTTTGACTTACTTCTGAAATAGTATGACGGTATCTGTGTTGACTAGCACATACCTATGTGCTTGTGTCCATGTAACATCATCAAGCCGTGTTTTAACTCCTTTAGTTATAGAACGACCAAAGTCACTACCACGATCATCATCACTACAAGCTGGTCTACCACCATCATCACTACAAGCTGGTCTATTAAGTTTCATTTCCACTTTATTTAAGTACAGTGTGCAAAAATTCATGCATTCTTCCATCAAGTACCCTTTAGCAATTGAGGCCTCAGGACGCGCATAATTACTCACATAACGTTTAAGTGTTAACAGATACCTATAAGAAAAATAATTAATTTCAAATCTAATTAAAATAATTAAAAAGTACAGCTGCATGTTTACATATCTCTCAATAAGATACATCCATCGAAATTGGACGGCTCCAACAATCATTGCTTCCTCAGCCAGATGGACAGGCAAATGCTCCATTACACCGAAGAAGGACATTGGAAAGATATTCTCCATACGGCAAAGTGTATGCACAATTCGATCTTGATTTTTTTCCAAATCAGATGGTAAGTTCACTTTTGAGCAAAGTTGTCTAAAGAAATTGGTGAACTCGATTAATGCTTCAACAACATGCTCTGGCAAAGCTCTACGTGCTGCTATAGGAAGTAATTGCTACATTAGTATATGATGATCGTGGCTCTTAAGACCGAAAATAGTACTTTCCTTTAGCTGTACACGTCGAGAAATATTGGAAGAATAACCATCGGGTACTTTTACTTCCTTCAATACTTTTAAGAACACATCTTTATTTTCCCTATTCATAGTAAAACATGTAGGAGGTAAGTATGCCTTATTAGAACCACGTTCTTATGGGTGTAATGGTTGCCTTATTCCCCATTCTTTTAAATCATGTCTAGCCTATAAGTCATCCTTGGTTTTTTTAGCAACACCCAACATTGTCCGTAGGATATTTTCAGATCAATTCTTCTCAATATACATGATATCGAGATTATGATGAATCAGATTATGCTCCCAATGTAATACCTAGAAAAAAATACTTCTTTTCTTCCAGTAGGAACCATCATTATTCTTCTCAACTTCATGTCATTTCCTTTTTGCTGATGTTTTCTTTCTTGTACTCAGTCAGTACTCCTTGCAATTGTCTTTTAACATCAGACCTAGAAAGTTTCAATGGTGCATGTCCTCATTCTCATGTGCCATCAAAAGACACTCTATCTTTTCGAAACCTATGACTCGTAGGTAAAAATGGTCGATGACCCATGTAACAATACTTTCTTCTATTAGTCAACCAAACAGATCTAGTGTCCTTATTGCAACAAGGACATGCTTTCGCACCTTTAGTGCTCCAACCCGACAAATTCGCATATGCTGGAAAGTAACTAATTGTCCTAAGTAATGCATCTAGTAATTTAAATATCTTATTCTTGGAAGAATCATAAGTATCTATAACTTCATGTCATAATTCCTTTAACTCATCAATCATTGGTTGCATATACACATTAATCTTATTACCAAGTGCATTCGGGCCATCTATAAGCACATACAAAATATAGAAAGTCTGCTTCATGCTCATCCATGGTGGAAAATTATAAGGCATGAGAATAACAGGCCATGTACTATGAGGTATGCCCATTGTTCTAAATGGACTGAAACCATCTGATGATAAACCAAGCCTAACATTACGAACTTCACTAGAAAAATCTGGATTCTTTGCATCAAATTCTTTCCATGCAGATGAGTTAACAGGGTGTCTTAGCACATCATCATCAGTATGCTATTCTGCATGCCATCTCATATGCGAAGCAGTTTTTGATGACATAAAAAGTTTTTGCAATCTTGGCTTCAATGGAAAGTATCTTGTTTTTCATGTATTTTTCTATTCCCATTCACAACATTTGTAGGTTGCCCATCAACTTTTTTATATCTGAATTAGTGACAATAACACATGATTCAAGTTTCTTATTCTCATTTCTAAATAACATACAATTATTGGGACATGCATCCCATGTATTGTATGTGAAAGTCATGTCCGCCATTATCTTTCGAGCATCGTTATATGAATATGGTAGTTGTACTTCATTGGGGAAAGCTTTTTTCAGAAGAGTTAACAAAATTGTCATTGACTTGTCGGTCCATCCACAAAGTACTTTTGTATGTGGCAGCTGAACAATAAATGATAATTTAGTGAAATTTTTACACCCTTGATATAAAGGACATTTTGCATCTTGTAGCAATTTGAAATAGTTTGTAGTCTCATTATTTGGGCCCATCACCATATTCATTTTCTATTGAGCCATCATCCTCATACTAGAATCCAAATTTGGATGCTCAAATGCCTCATGTACCATTCCAATTATATCATCATCCACAACTGAAGCAGAACTATTCCCCATACATTTGTCAACATATAATGATTGGTGTCTTTGACCATGAGTCCAATTTTTGTACTTTGACCAAAACCCATCAACTATTATATGTGCTCTTGCTACCTCCCTTGTAACAAAGTAACAATTATAACATTTTTTTTTCAAGGACAATAAATCATTGTATCACCCATGCTATTGTCAAATGCAAAATCCAAAAAAAATTTCAAGCCCATTGAGATATTGATTTGATGATCTTTTAGTTAAATCGATCCAACTCTTGTCCATACCTAGTTTCTATTCAAGAATAAAGAAACAAGAAGGCATACCCTTATATGATCCAAATGTTTATTTTATAAGACAGATAGTAGGTATTAAAATGCATCAAAAGAAGAAAATGAAACATACCAAATAACTAATAGCAGTCCTTGATTCGATCTTGTTATCAACAAACGATCCTACAATATGCAATATGTTTTTCAATTAAAAATTTGCATGCCCAGTACCTATAATTAGATAAAGCACATGAGTTCACATAATAAAAGAAAAACAATCTGACATCTGAATATTTAAACAATTCTATAGGAAAATTAGTCAATTTGCAACAAAAATAAATAAATATTAGCAATTAAGTATAGATCAATTCCAAACATACCAAGTAATTAGCAAGAGAGAGAGAGAGAGAGAGAGAGAGAGAGAGAGAGAGATTACATGAATTGGATTGATGATGGCCTCCATGATCTCTGAGGGAGGAGTTGATTTAGGATTTAGGAGGAATAAGGAGAGAGAATTACATGAGATTGGATTGATGGTGGCCTCCATGATCTCCTGGGAGGAGTTGATTTAGGATTTAGGAGGAAGAAGGTGAGAGTGAGAGGGGAGACTAGATGTAGGTTTGTTTTTCATCTGAAATCTAGGCGCACTAATTGAAAACTTTTGGGACAATTTGTGCATGTCGTATCAAATATCCAAACTTGTCGCAAAAATATTATACACGAAACCTATTTTAAGTAAGTCACACATAGATCATTTATATGGGTATTTGCGACCTTTTCTCCAACGTTATTTATAAGGGTGTTGCAAATACCTTCGCGCCATTACTCCGCGCACTAAAGCTAAAGCAATTGTGAGGGCCGCATCTGTCCCAAAAAACTGTCGCAAAAGGGGCAATTTCTTGTAGTGAAGAACAACATGCCTATCAAATTCAACACGATAAGGAGGCCAATGAACAGAGATAATGTCCATGGACGTATCCAAATTTACTCTAAGAAAGAAGAAGTATTGGTGGAATAAGTAAGACGAAATTATTGAGGCCCAGATGAATACAAGTTTCCCCAACAATCCAGAAGACAACTCTGGAGACTATTATCCAAGCCCTCCATATAGTGGTTATTAATTTATGTTTATTTGTAATTTATGTTTATCTTTATTTATAATTATCGTTTATCTTTATTTCTAATTGTTGATGTAATTTTTGTTTATCTTTATTTATAATTGTCGTTTTTCTTTATTTGTAATTGTTGTTTATCTTTATTTATAATTATCGTTTATTTTATTTATGATTGTCGTTTATTTTCTATGATTAGTCTTTTTTTTAAAATTCAATGATAAACCACATAATCATTAAAATCACACAATCACTTTTATAATTTAAACACACAACATAGTTTAAACATGCTTACATAATTTAAATACACTTACATAATTTAAATACACAACATAATTAAACACACAACGTAGCTCATTGCGCCCTCTCATTTGCATCTCTAAATGTGGTTGATCAAATCATTTCTTAGATTGTGATGCACTTGCGAAGCACGGACTCTATTATGATGGACCATGTAGTCTAAGATAAATTGTTTGTCTCGGTTTATATCGTATGTGATAGTTGGTTCAGCTCATAAGCAAGTCTTGCTCTTACTCTTCTAGATGTTCGTGGACAATTATCATCATCATCATTAGATTCTGCATCTAGATCCTCATACTCATCCTCTGTTAGAATTCATAGCTTATGGTATTTAGTTTTATGAAGATTTTGAGTGTTTGGAAAGAAGGAAAGTTGCAGAGAAATGCAACTATGGTGCTACGAAAATAATGAAGGTTCTAATATTCATTTCACACTCCACTATTCAAATATAACTATTAGGAGAGATAGAGAGAGAGAGAGAGAGAGAGAGAGAGAGAGAGAGAGAGAGAGTGAATTGAGATGCTTCTCTAACAGATTTACACCAAGATTAAATCCTAGCCTTTTATCCTATCATCCTATGAGATGATTTCACTTGTCATAATCTAACACTTAGATCCTAGGCTAGAGAAGAGACCACTTGGACTATGATCCAATGACTCAGATTACATCAGGAAATTAAATCTTATAAAATGAAATTAAAAAATTTGTAACTTTTGGCTTTTCAAGATATCAGCTCAAGGGTTACACATCAACACTCCCTTCTAACCCTTTAGGTGATTTCACACCAAGCAGTTCTCTTAGGCAAGCAAATCGATCCTTTGGCAAGGCCTTGGTTAATATATATGCAATATGATCTTCCATTTTACAGTAAACAAGTTCGATCTCTTTTGCTTGAATGGCTTTTCTGATGAAATGAAACTTTTGACTGATGTGCCTAGTTTTCTGGTGAAGGACTGGGATTCTTTGCTATTGTTATGCCAGATGTGTTATCACACATAATTGGTGTGCCTTCCACTTGCTCCTCTCCAAAATCTTCAAGCACAAACCTTAGCCATTTAGCCTGTGATGTTGCTTCTGCAGCGTTGACATATTCCGCTTCTGTAGTGGACAATGCCGCTGTGTTTTGTTTGATCAATGCCCACGAAAACATACCAAATACTAGTGTAAATGCATACCCTGAAGTGCTTCTCATGTCATCCTCACTTCTTGCCCAGTCACTGTCACAGTACCCTATTAGAGTAGTTGTCTTTCTTTCACAAATTCAATTCCAAAATCAAGAGTACCCTGAATGTATCTCAACACCCTCTTGGCTATTCCCATATGCTTATTTGTGGGATTATGCATGAATCTAGCAAGTAAGCTAGAAGAAAACATTATATCTGGCCTTGTAGCAGTCAAGTATAGCAAGCTACCTACAACCTGTCTATATTCACTCTCATTTGCTGCTTCACTGCCATCTACCTTGCATAACTTCTCATTCACAACTAGTGGTGTTGCCACAGATTTGCAATCTTTCATTCCAAATTTCTCAATGAGCTTCATTGCATATTTCCTCTGGTGAATAAAAATGGTTTTATCTGTTTGTACTACCCCCATGCCAAGGAAATGATGAAGTAACCCCAAATCAGTCATCTCATAATGCTACATCATATCATTCTTGTACTCTTCAAGTAGTTTTGGACAGCTTCCAGTGTGTATAATATCATCCATATATAGTGAAACAATAATGATACTTGAAGCTTCACTAGATTTGACATAAAGTGTTGCTTCACTAGAGCTCTTCTTAAAACCTGCCTTGATGAAATAGGAATCTATCTCATCATACCAGGCTCTTGGAGCTTGCTTCAGCCCATACAAAGCCTTGTTCAACTTATACACATTGGTTTCTTCGTTTTCCTTCACAAATCCTTGTGGCTGCTCAACATAAACTTCTTCCTTTAAAACTCCATTCAGAAAAATGGATTTTACATCCAATTGATATAAGTTCCATTCCTTTTGTGCAGCAAGTGCTATCAAGGTCCTAATAGTGTCCAACCTTGCTACTGGAGCAAATGTTTCATTGTAGTCTATTCCAGGTTTTTGGGAATAGCCTTTTGCCCCTAGTCTGACCTTGTTTTTCTGCACAGATCCATCAAGATTCAGCTTGGTTTTATAGACCCACTTAACACCAATGATTGGCTTATCAAATAGGCTGTCAACTAGCTCCCAAGTGTTGTTTTTCTCAATCATTTCCAGCTCAGATTTCATTGCATTTTTCCATGACTCATCTAGAGCAGCTTCTTCATAGCTCTCACATTTTACAATGCACATGTTACACTGAGCCATGATCTCATTGATGCTTCTTCATTTCTGTGGTGTGTAATCAATTGCTTGAGAGCTTTCAAACATATCTTCAATCTGTGGTGTAATAACTTCATCCACTTGAGTTGATGTATCCAAGGATTTACTTGGTTCACAGACTTCAAATTGCTTTTGTCCTTCACTACAGTTTGCCATTTGATTCTCAGCAAACATTGGGACTCTCATTTCATTTTTATCAGTGTTCTCCCACTTCCATGAAGCATTCTTATTAAAGAGTACATCTCTGGACAAGATGATCTTTTTGGAACTTGGATCAACCACCTTGTACCCTTTTTCACAGAGTCTATAGCCTGCAAAGATACATTTGTGACTGTTTTCTTCAAGCTTATGCCTTAGTGTTGAAGGGACGTGCACATAGCATAGTGATCCAAAAATCTTCCGATGTGCAATACCTGGTTTTCTGCCAATGTATGCTTCAAATGGAATACCTTCTTGAGAGACTTGGAGGGACATCTATTAAGTATGTATACTGTAGTGTTCACAGCCTCTGTCCAAAACTCGTAAGGAAGACCCTTTTCATACAACATGGACTTTGCCATTTCCACCACCATTCTATTCTTCCTCTTAGCCACCCCATTCTGTTGATGGGAATATGTCATAGTTAACTGTCTTTGGATCCCAAGTTCATTGCAATACTTGTTAAATTCGTTTGACAGAAATTCTCCACCCCTATCACTCCTTAAGCCTTTCACCTTATATCCACATTGTGGTTTAGTCATAGCTTTGAACTTCTTGAAACATTCAAATGCATTTGACTTGTTCCTGATAAAGTATACCCATGTTATTATGGTGCAATTGTTTGTGAACAACAGAAAGTACCTATTTCCTGAGATAGATTCAGTTTTCATTGGTCCACAGATGTCTATGTGAACCAATTCCAATGGAAATTTAGCTCTCCAAGTAGATTCTGATGGAAAAGAATCTCTGTGTTGCTTTCCTAGTATGCAACCTTCACACACAACATAAGTTTTCTCCAAATGAGGCAACCCATGAACCATTTCTTGATCTTCAAGCAGTTTGATGCTTCTGTCATTTAGATGCCCCAATCTCTTGTGCCATATTTGCAGATAGCGTGTCACACTTGCCTTCAAGGCCAACTGATTTGCAAGCATCGTTGTAAGAGGAAAACACCTGTTGTTTGTCATCTGAACTCTAGCAACAAGATTGTCCAGTGACCAACCATTGAAGATGTTTACTAAATTTCCTCCAAACACCAAATAGTACCCGTGCTTCACCATCTGTCCAACACTAAGCAGATTCTCTTCAAGTCCAGGAACAAGCATCACTTCTTGAATGTGCTTCCTTCCTAATTTGGTCTCTATCACAAGAATTCCCTTTCCTGCAACCTGAACAATTTCTCTTGTTCCCATCTCACCTTGGAAGTCAGGTTCCTTTGAATGTTAATTAATAACCTTTCATTACCTGTTATGTGGTTACTACAACCACTATCAATGTACCATGAATGGTTCACTTTCACATTTGTCACAGCATTACATGCATAGAACAAAGTACCAGTTTCTTCAACCTGGTTTGCATAGTTCACCTTTTGTATAGTTTTATTTCCATTGCAGTCTCTGAGCACATGCCCAAACTTCCTGCAACCTATGCATTTAGGCTTCCCTTCAAACCAACACTTGCCATAATGCAGTTTATTATAATGTTACAAGCTGTTTTGTTTCCATCATTAGAGACATTTGGTTTGGAAGTAGAATTAGGCTTATTATCCCCATTTCTTTCCTTTGGACTTCTAGTTTTTCTGAGATTTTTGATTTCCAGAATTACCTCCACTTATAGGATTTTTACCACCAACGTTTAGACTAGCAAAAGCCCTTTCTGTAGAGTCTTTAGCATGTCTATCTAATTCGAGCTCAAAGCTTTCAGATAAGCAACTACCTCTTGATCCTCAAGAGTTTCAAGGTCCTTAGAGTGTTCGATCACAGAGCAAATAGGGTCATATGATCTAGGCAAACTAATCAACAATTTTTGCACAACTTTTTTCCTAAACAGATCCTCACCATAACTCTTCATTTGATTCATTATATCGAACAATCTAGCAAGGTATACAGATAAGGACTCACTATCTTTCATACGAGTGTATTCAAATTTGAGACGCAAACCTTGCAATTTTACGCTCCTTACTTGCTTATCTCCTTTGAACTCTTGCTTCAGAATTTCCCAAGCACCCTTTAAGGTCTCCTCGTTCACAATTCTGGGGAAGATTTGATCTGAGACGACACTTTGGATCAACCCAAGTGCGCGAGCATCCTTCATCAGAATTTTAGCCATTGTAGGCTTCTCCACTTCAGCGACCTCACTCTCTTCTATCTTCTTCTTATCCTTCTTTGGATCTGAAGCATCAAAACCATTTTCAACAAGATCCCACAACCATGAGATTTCATAATGGTTTTCATCTGAATACTCCAGAACTCATAATTTTCTCCATTGAAAACTGGCGTGCAAAGGTCAGCAGTGCCCGATCCTACCATATTAGGCATTAGATTCAAGAAATCACACCACCTCGATCGTCGAATGAGCTCGATCACAGCTTGAATCGATTCCAATTCTCTGTTCACAGATTCACACCCAGTTTAGGCAACCGAACCTGGCTATGAGGCCATGTTAGAATTCATAGCTTATGATATTTAGTTTTATGAAGATTTTGAGTGTTTGGAAAGAAGGAAAGTTGCAGAGAAAATGCAACTATGGTGCTATGAAAATAATGAAAGTTCTGATATTCATTTCACACTCCACTATTCAAATATAACCATTAAGAGAGAGAGAGAAGTGAGATACTTCTCTAATAGATTTACACCAAGATTAAATCCTAGCCTTTAATCCTATCATCCTATGAGATGATTCCACTTGTCATAATCTAACACTTAGATCCTAGGCTAGAGAAGAGACCACTTGGACTATGATCCAATGACTCATATTACATCAAGAAATTAAATCTTATAAAATGAAATTAAAAAATTTGTAACTTTTGGCTTTAAGATATCAGCTCAAGGGTTACACATCAACATCCTCAACAATCATGTTGTGCAATATTTGCATGTCATCATGATTGAATGAAGTTGTTCTTTACGCCACACACGTGCAGGTCCCCTAACAGTTGCCCATTGAGCCTGAAGTATTCTGAAGGCTCTTTTGACATCCTTCTTATAAGCCTCTTGTTTTTGGGCAAATAGTTTTTTTTTTGGAGTATCGGTTGGGAAATAGTCTTAACCAATGTAGCCCAACGCAAAATGAAGGTTGCATAATGATAAAGATCTCTGGGGAAACCACTAAAAAAAAACCTAGATTATATTAATTTCCACTGACAACATATTGGATATGGGGAGACACTCCATTGACTACATCATTGAACAAAAGGGAATGAGTTAGGACTTTGATACGTTGTTCGATCAGGTGACTCCAAAAAAGACATGCCATATCCAAGTGTCATATGAGGCCATTGCCTCTAGAATGACAATTGGCTTATGCTTGTAGCCGGTAAACAGGCCTGCCCAAGCAGTAGGGCAGTTCTTCCATTCCCAATGCATGCAGTCAAGACTGCCTAACATGCCTGGGAATCTTCTACGACTAGCCTTGTGCAAGAGCATGTAAAGGTCTGCCAGATTTGGGGGACAGAGGTATCACTGGCCATACACAGCTACAATAACAGAACAAAACTTTCGCAAACATTCAAGGGCTATAGATTCACCCAATCTACAGTATTCGGCGGTGGAGTCTGCCAAGCATCCATATGCTAGCATAAAAAAAGGTTGTTAGCTTCTACTATGGGGATAGACTTTGTCGTCCACAAGCGTCTATCTTCTAGGTAAAGTATGGTTCATGTGCAACAACATCATTCAAGATGCGATAGAAAAGCTCTCTTCTCATGTGGAACCGCCTGCGAAAGTCCACTGGGGATAAAGTGATCTTTCACAGAAGTAGTCCTCTATGAGACTCTTATGATGTTTTTCTCTATTCCCATTCTTGTATTCATGACCTACAATAGAATCACCATGTTTGGATTGTTAAGCATATTGCTCCAACAAAAACATATGGTGTTGAACGACCATTGCAACCCTTTATTAATGAAGGTCATCATCATCAAAATCATCATTGAAGAAATTTTGTATAGTCTTCTCACGTGAATTCATTGTAAGAAGGAGAATAAGATTGAAGGAGATTGTGTGGTCAATTTGGTAGAATAACACTTCTTAAATAGACAAGAGAATGAGATGACCTACATGTTTGAAAATAATTGAATGAAGATAGGGAAAGATAAGGGAATCCAATAAATGAGATGAACAAAGATGAGCAATGGTTCAGAACATGATTGAAACAAGACAATAAGAGATGGGAAATAATTCAGAAAATAATTGAATGAAGATAGGAAAAGATAGGGAAAGATAAGGGAATCCAATAAAGTGAGATAAACAAAGTTGAGCAATGGTTCAGAACATGATTGAAACAAGACAATAGGGGATGGCAAAGGAGTCAGAAAATAATTGAACAACATAAGTGGAGGTGGTCAAAAGTTCATAACATTATTGAATGAGGATAAATGAATATAATGAAGTAAAAGTAAAAGTAAAAATGGAAGACAATTATGGCAATGGCTTTAATGAAGGGTTCGAATTATTTCGGGCATACACAAAAGTAGAAGCTCCAGGGATTGCTACCGCTTTAAAAAAAATAGTGTGGTTCTATTTTTTTAATATAAATCGTGTGCTACTTGTTTTACTTTCAAAGTTGATGAAAAAGTCCATAAAATAAAATGTTGTTGTATTTGTTTTTATTTTTAAGTGAAATTCTATTATGTTTTGGAATTTTAATTTTTTAAGGTTAAAATGTTTAGAAAATTAAATCACAAATTTTGAAACAAAAATAATGTCGAGAAAATTAATGAGAAAAAAAATTTAGGGATTAATCATTCTTAAACAATTTAATAAAGTTGCGGATTCAAATTATGAGTCTGCAAGGTTGGAGAGGAAATTTTTTTGAGTCCTAAAAATACATAAATAGTTATATTTTAGAAGGTAAAAATTTGAGTTTAGCCCCAACATAATTGGAGATGACCTTAGAAAGATAATTTTATTAGTATGAGTGGTTTGGTAATTAAATCAACATTTGTTTTCTTAATTACCTTCCTTAACATTATTGCCTTGTCCGTTCAAAAGAATTCCACATCATTGGTGATATCTGAAGAGAAAAACAAATATAAACAGTTAGTCATAATCCTGTGTGCTAAAAACACATGGTCTTGATAACAACTTCCACTCCCAGTCTGCCACTGCTGCATATTCTTCAATCAAATCTTGAGTTACCGTATCAAAGCATCCCACGTGTCCAATTTAACTGAGCCCATATTCCACACATCCAACATCACACTCGGTTCCGTCCTACGGTGCTCCACACAGCCACACAAAGAAAAACAGAGAGAGTGCGAGAAAGCGCGAGAAAGTGAGAGAAATCAACCAAACCGGAGATGGGTAGCCCGCCGGAGGACTTCTCGGTGGTGGTACTGGCATCGGATCTGGGTATAGATGCGAGGCCATTCTTGACGAACCAAGAAAGAGAGGTCGAAGAACAAGAGAATTGGTACGACTGCCCTCAGAACCTTATTGCCGACGAGGACTTCTCCGATCTCGAGCTCTTGCAGTTCTTTCGTGTTCAGGGCCATGACAATTCTGGAAATCGTATTTTTCGCATAGTGGGAAAATACTTTCCCGGTAAACAAACAGATCCAACTATCCTTATCTGTTGTTACAGTGGGTGAATTGTTCCTTAGTTAAACTAGCTGCGTAAAAGAAAACCTGTTTCTCAGCTGAGATGTGTATTTTACTCGTCCATATCTGAGTTAACTGATTATATAAGCATGTCCTAATTATTTTGGCTTCGGGGTTTCGTTTGAATTTGAAGAGTTTCTATGTTTGTTTGGGTAATTGACAGTTTTTTGGGTAAAATACTTTGTGTTTTGATAATTTTCTTGTGTTCTTTTTAGGTTAAACCCTTTACTTTTATTTATCTTTTTGGGTTTTGTGGTTCCCTTGGTATGGAACAACTGGGTTTTATGGAACTGCTTTTTACTTATTTTTAGTTTTTGAAATATGTAATGATCTGTTCTGTGAACTGTAGAAGCTGTTAATAGAATAGTACCTTTTGTGGCAGGGACTTACCTTAGGTTGCTTAATTTTGCTAATTTTTGGAAATAGTTAAGTGTTTTTCTCTTCTAGATGTGTCTCGTTGGAAACAAATTGCACTTTGTGCTTTGAGATAAATATAACACACTCTATATAGTCAGGTTTAGTATTTCAAAGCAAGAAATTAGGGGTTGGTGATCACCGTCCTGTTCATAGTTGACTTCAGCCTGTTTGGCATAAACCATCTTTCTCAATAATTCAATAAGAAAAAAAGGGTAGTTTTGTAAGGGATAGGATATCTCCCTTCTTGTACTCTGTATAAGGTATTTTTTGCTTTTAGGATGTTTGCAAATGTGAGATGGCAGGGATTCGGGCATGATGTGGGAGTATTTGACCATTGGTTTTTGAGCTGTAAAAGTCAATTTTAAATACTCTTAATGGCCGGATATAATGGTGGCGTTGATGCTGATGTGAAATGGGTTCTGTTTGGAGGGAATATTATCTTAGTTGAAACTTTTTAGGGGTTTGTTATGTCTGGTTTTGCATTTAACATTCGCAAAGAAGATGGATTTTTGCTTCCTTTTGGTTTGGATAAATTCTTTTTTATATTTATATTGGTGGGAAAATAATTAATTCTTGATTTTTTGTTTTCAATCTCCTTATTCTACTTTTTAAAAACCCTGTGTCACATGACAATTGTTTTAATTTGTCTGATTTTCTTTCTGCAGCTCCAGTTGTTAGTGGAGATAGGCTGAAGAGGTATATATTCCACAAATTATGCAGTGAGCTTCCAGAAGGGCCATACTGCATTGTTTACATGCATAGTACTGTGCAAAAGGATGATAACTCCCCTGGCATAACCATCTTAAGGTGGATTTATGAAGACCTTCCTTCATATTTGAAGGACAGGCTTCAGATTGTGTACTTCATTCACCCTGGGCTCCGATCAAGACTTGTCTTTGCCACTCTTGGCCGATTCTTCTTAACTGGAGGGTGAGTGATTTCATATACTTTGTAAACCCTCAATCTAATATAATAATGATTTCTTATTATTATTATTATAAAAAACAAACAAATTAGTGAATATAACGGAGAGTTTGTGGATTAGTATTTTGATATTATTGACATGTCTCTTGACTTTGCTTAATACTGTCTTGAAACTTGGTGATTATTTTGTTCAATGAACTGCAATTTAGACAAATCTGTCTTTGAGATAAGTAGGAAAAAAAATCATTTTGATGGCTGATGTTGAAATTCTTCAATTTATGTTTCAAGCAACATTATAGGATGTACTATGTAGTCATGCAGATTATGCCCAAGCATCCTCAAATGACTATATTTCCCTATTGAATCCATGTCTAAGTTACAGCCAACAGTGAATTGAGAAGCATAATCGATGTGGTATTCGTTTTTGTTCTTAAAATATCTTTGTTTGCAGCCTATATTGGAAAATCAAGTATGTAAGCCGCCTGCAGTACCTTTGGGAGGATATAAAGAAGGGAGAGGTGGAGATTCCTGAATTCGTGAAAGGTCACGATGATGTTCTCGAGCATAGACCGCTAACAGATTATGGCATTGAACCTGACCCTCTTCACATGATTGAGGTTCCGTCAACAGCCTACTCATTTGGAAGGTATGAGGAGAGATGGGCATCAAGAGAATATACGTCGTAATTGGTACTATGTAAACAGCCCTTCCCTACTAACTGGGATTTAGGCGTCAATAAGTTGGCTTGATAGGTGGCTATCCTATGTATGCATGTTTTGTACAGAATAATACTGATGTGGTGTTGAGTAGTTTGTGCTCTTAAATGCTGATTATTGCGTACTACGAATACAACTATAGTTTACGCATACTTTTATCTTATATGCTTTTGGGTATTAGATTTTCTTTTTAACTTCCAGGCTTTGTTTCGTTTTCTCCTTTATCTCTCCCAGTCAGTTTCAACTCTTGCTGCTTGACCGTTCTGCTCTAGCTTAGATTTGGAGGCCTTGTCTCCTTTGTAGATTCTTTGTTTTTATGTCTTTCTTCTTTTCTGATGGTGAGGCTGGTAGTGCTTAAGGTGTTTGGGGTGGTTATGGTCGTGGCCATCGCAATGTGGTAGAGGTGGTGATGTCGATGGCATTTAATGTTTATCTTTTTGGCTAACCTAAAAGTCTACGGAATTTAATGTCCATCTTTTTAGAGGTATCAATCTAATATAAATGAGTGATGCTGGTGTTGGTGGTGATACCTGGGCACGTTCAAGATTGGTGGTGGTGTTAGGTGTGATACTGAACCTCAATTTTTATAATTCACTGGCATGAATAAATGGAAGTTCCAGCATACATTTGTATATGTACATATGCGTCTGTTTTTGTATTTGTAGACTGAAAGAAGTCAGAGAGAACAAAAAGGAGGAAAAGAAAGCATTACTTAAACAAGCGGCAGAATGCCACTAATAAGCAAACAAAGAAAAAACCAGCACTTTTCTCGCAAATGATTTGCACAACATAGGCTGTCTGGTTTGAAAACTATTAAGCCAAGTTGCCAAATGACATGTCTCACATCATGCATCGTGAACAAGGTGATTGGTGTTAGGAAGGCCACAAGTAGGCCCTATTTGGCTTCCTCTCTGGCAGCTTCCTACCTTTACCCAAGAAAGGGCATCGGTGATGTTTCCTTCTATAAATCGTATCTTTTGGCATGGGTAAATTACACCAATATTTTCGATTCCTCTTTTCTATTTTTTTTTTTTTTTTTTTTTTTTTTTTTTTTTTTTCTTTCCCCGTTAAAATTGTAACCTTCACGGTGACTACCTTTAATACTAAGGAAAAGCGAGTTTTTAAGCACTCTAAAACTCCAGACGATGCAGGATTAAAAGATACAAAACGGGACACCATTTTTAATTTTATAAATACTTGATAAAAACAAACTTTCAGAAGTTTGATAATTTTATAAATATAGGAAGAATAAACGAAGAAACGAAGAAGAAACTGAACAAAGAGTCAAGGAAGAGCTGCACTCACCGTTTGACGATGGCAGTAATATGCCTGCAAACGAACTCTTTGCAAACATATGTACAAAAATTCCCAGTCTAATAGGGCCTTTTTTTTTATGTTTATGTGGGTTTTAAATTTAAGGGCATTTGTGTCTATTTACGTGAGTTTTTTGCTATATTTATAATGGATAAAAATTGGCTTTTTTGATAAGTTCTCCAATCCCAAATACTAAAGAGGGAAGGAGGAACAGAGGAAGAAAAAAAATAAAGGAAAAAACGGAAAAAATGCTCAGAGCTCTCACTCTCAGACGCTCACTCCAGTCCCTCCACCACAACCACCTCAAGCCGCTCATTTCCACCGCCATCCCCCAAAACCCACTGAACCCATTAAGCCCAGCACGTGCATGTTCCAGTCTTTCATCGCCATCAGCATCTTCATCAGCCTCTGAGCTCCGCAAGTACTTGGGCTACACAGCCCTCGTCTTGTTCTCCGCTGCAGCCACCTACTACTCCTTCCCTTTCCCTGAAAACGCCAAGCACAAAAAAGCCCAGATTTTCCGCTATGCTCCTCTGCCCGAGGAGCTCCACACAGTCTCCAACTGGAGCGGGACCCACGAGGTCCAGACCCGGGTTTTCCACCAGCCTGAGACCCTTGAGGAGCTGGAAAAGGTTGTCAAGGATGCCCATGAGAAGAAAACCCGGATTCGGCCTGTCGGGTCCGGGTTGTCCCCGAATGGGATTGGATTGTCCAGGGCTGGAATGGTCAATTTGGCGCTGATGGATAAGGTTTTGGAGGTGGATAAGGAGAAGAAGAGGGTGAGAGTGCAAGCTGGGATAAGGGTGCAGGAATTGGTGGATGGGATCAAGGAACATGGCCTTACTCTGCAGAACTTTGCCTCCATTAGGGAGCAGCAGATTGGTGGCATTTTGCAGGTTGGTTTGTTTTTTTTTGTTAAGTTTGATGTGGGTTTTGGTTTAACTCTTTCCAATTGACTGGCCTCATCACATTTTGATTTTTGCTAATATGATCTTTCTCTTTGCCTCATGTTCATATGCGTGTAGGTTGGTGCACATGGTACTGGTGCAAAATTGCCTCCGATGGATGAACAGGTGATCAGTATGAAGCTGGTCACTCCTGCTAAGGGAACAATAGAAATCTCTAAAGAGAAAGATCCAGAGCTGTTTTATTTAGCCCGGTGTGGCCTTGGTGGCCTTGGAGTGGTTGCTGAAGTCACCATCCAGTGCGTTGAGAGACAGGAGCTTGTAGAGCACACTTCTGTTTCAAACATGGAAGAGATCAAGAAAAATCATAAGTAATTATTTATTCCTTTCATTGTTAGATTTATTGGTTTATCTTTCATTCAGATAGTAAGTACAAAATGCACGAGTGTTGCTTGCAAGTTGCAAATTGCAACAAGTTTATGGAAATATGAAAACTATTGAGTGTGAGGCAACCATTGTTTGGTTTGGAGCTAGGGTTTTACAAAGTTTTAAGGGATCGTGAAAACACTTCGATTGAGTGCTGAGATTTGGTGGCTTGTAATGCAAACCCTTCATTGAATTTCATCTAGTGATTTTTTATTTTGAAGAAAAAAGAGAAACTACAATAAAAACCACTCACAAAAAAGGTAAGTTAGAAAAAGCTCAAATTTTGAAAATTTTAGTCTCAGTTCACAGCTGCTAACATTACAACATTATAAAAGAATGGTCATTTCAGCTAGTGATAGCAACACTTTCCGGTGAAACATAAAAATTGTCGATCACTGATGCATCAACATATACATGTGGTTCTTAAATCTCAGAAGTCATTGATTAGTAAGGGTAAGCTGTATGTACTGTTTTTTCTTATTTATAACGAATTCTTCTCTCACTCTGTATGTCCTGTTTTTGCTTGTTTTTAACGAATTCTCTCTCTCTCTCTCTCTCTCTCTCTCTCTCGTATTTGACTACTGTGCGCTTATGCACCATTAATATTATAGTGCGATATGGAATCAGGAAATGAATGATACATGATCTGTTTGTTTCACAGGAAATTACTATCTGAGAATAAACATGTGAAGTACCTTTATATTCCATATAGCGACACTGTTGTGGTTGTGACGTGTAACCCTGTATCAAATGGAAAGGTCCCCCAAAGTTCAAACCCAAATATAGCAGTGATGAAGCCATACAGCACGTTCGAGATCTCTACAAGGAATGCCTCCAGAAGTGCAGGTAAAGTTGTTTCCTGGTCCTGTCAACCATATAATCTAGCAAGATATTTTCTCCTGTTTGAGCTGAAGGAAAATAAGCTGTACAGGCTGAATGTCTCTTATTCCCTTTTATCATTTATCATTTTCTTTATTTTCATATTCTCTTGGCTTAGAGGACCTGTGCAAGTGCAATAAAGTAAAGGCATCAAAGTACTGCTAGAGCTATGTGGTGAAATGGGAAACAAAAACTCTTTGCAACATGGTCTTAAATGACTGCTCTTTTTCTTTCATTTCTCTGTTTCAATGTTCAGTGGCTTTGATATTCTAGATTTCTTACTACTAGAACTTGGAACTCTGTTTATATACTGTTAAGACAATACTCATTAGCACTTAATATAGATGCATACGCTTATACTCTTGTAAGCTTGGGCAAGCTTGGTTGGGGTTGGTTTAACCAAGGTCAACCCAGGTCGTGAAATCCCAACTGGAATGTTGTATGCAGGTTGGTGGGCATGGATTGCGAACTCCTAGAGCTGTCTTTGGTGTTGTTGTGTTAGCATAAAACGGATTACTAGTCCTCCATTGTTCTTCCTCTATTATCTGTTCTTTTTTGCTTCATATACTCAAAAACTCCCATATTGCTATTGTGTTGATTCATCTGTTCGTTGCAGCTAACCATTTACACATTTTACTTGCAGTGTAGTTCCAGTTAAGAATGACGTGGACATAAATGAGCTCTCATTTACAGAGTTGAGAGATAAACTGCTTGCCCTAGATCCTCTCGACAAAGATCATGTTGTAAAAGTTAATCAAGCTGAGGCTGAATTCTGGAGGAAGTCAGAGGGATACAGAGTGGGATGGAGTGATGAAATTCTGGGCTTTGATTGTGGTGGTCAACAGTGGGTTTCAGAAACTTGTTTTCCAGTTGGAACCCTTTCCAAACCAAGCTTGAAAGACCTTGAATACATAGAAGATGTAAAGCAGCTCATAGAGAAGAACGAGGTACCAGCACCTGCTCCAATAGAGCAGCGCTGGACAGCATGCACTAAAAGCCCCATGAGTCCAGCTTCAAGTACAAAAGATGATGATATATTTTCGTGGGTAATTTCATGAACCAATGTTTCTTCACGTTGTTCTTTATATCTCTTGGGTTAATTCCTTATGCATATCTTGAATTAGAAAGGTGTCAGTGGTATAAAAACGTTAATCACTTGTTGACCATGCATACAAGACAATTTTAGGGTTAAGGTTTTTTATATTTTACCTTGTTTAAGCATGATAGATGAATTGGTGGTACAAGTCTTCTGGGGTTTAGTGTAAAAGTATGTTCCCTTTACATCGAACATATGGAGGATGTTTGTGCTTATTGCTGGTGTTTCTGGCATAGGTTCTAACATGAACATGACATATTTATTAAATAGGTAACACATCTCTACCTGTGTAATCTGTTAATAAACAGATTTCATCCAGAACCCATTGACCCGTGTAATAAATGGATCTTGTTAATGATATGACATGATACAACCCACTTGAAATAGGTCACCATTTACCACCTTTATGAGAATTCAACCTACTTCAGATGTATTTGTTTTTATAAGAACCAAACTTTATGAGTAATGACAGAAATTATGTAGGATGAACGAGAAGTCCGTCAAAAACTAATTCGTCTATGACCCAAAAAAAAAACTCCAAAGAATGAAAAAGATGAGGTACTATAGTATCTTGTAATTTTGTACATGTATTTAACTTGTTTAGTATCATGTATCTTACATCCAACCCAACAACAGTTGACAATGGGTAGAGATGCCCAGGGGCATCATGTATCTTAGTACTACTCTGCGAGGCTTTACTTCCACGATGTGGTACAGTACTCTCAACACTATATACAAATTATAAATTAAGAATGCGCACCCAATTTTAATAGGAATAGAATCGCCCAATGGTACTTTTAGATTTTTTCAACTACTAAACGTAAATACTTAATTTTGCATTGGAAAATTGAGAAAAAGGTTTTTGTGAAAATTATTTAAATGTGACAAAAAATAATCAACCACCAAGTAAGTGTAGTAACATACAATGATCATATTAGTATCCATATCCATATTTGGGGCCATATCTGTATTGGATACTCACCCTGGCCAAAATATTACATATCTCTGCTACGTTACATGTATGTGGAATTAGTTAACTCTTATCAAATGCTGTTACCAACTACAATGTTCATGTGTAAAAGCTGTTTTAAATTTTGTATCAGGTTGGTATAATCATGTACCTTCCTACAACGGATGCCCGCCAAAGAAAGGAAATTACAGAAGAGTTTTTCCACTACAGGCGTCTGACCCAAGTACAGTTGTGGGATAAGTATTCCGCTTATGAACACTGGGCAAAGATTGAGGTATTAAATGTCATATTAGATGATTGTCTTTGTAGAATCTTTCTAAAATGATGTTACCACCATGATATTATGAAATCCTGAAGAGTGAATTTATTGTTTTCAATACCCTCAAACTCATGCTAAATTTCCAACATCCATTGACCAAAAAAATATTTCCAACATCTTAGCAAACTTAATTTTTATAGGGTTTGCATTCACTTGCAATCTCAACAACAAATTTTTTTCAAAGGCAACACGTATTGTAACGTGTCCAGATTAAAGTTGTTTTGTAGCTGATCAAGCTGCTTCTTTTAGGAATTCTACCAATTTATCTTTGGTAAAATGGCTGAATAAAACATGTTATGTTATCACTGTTGTGCATTTTATTTAGACATGCATATCGTGCACAGGTTCCGAAGGACAAAGAAGAGCTTGCCTCTCTCCAGGCCAGGCTAAGAAAGCGTTTTCCAGTTGATGCATACAATAAAGCACGAAAGGAGTTGGACCCGAGCAGGATCCTTTCAAATAACAAGCTGGAAAAGCTGTTCCCATTATCGGACACCATTTGAGAAGCATCCTTCAGTGGTTAGTTATTGATTAATATGGCTTTTCACTAAATTTGAATGCATTTTGGCTTCAATAAAAAAAAATTCCGCCAAATCTGCCTCGAGCATCTTTAGACCTAAGAATATAACTGTAAATTTAAGAGGAATCATGAGATACGATGTGATGTATTATTACATTTATTGATAATGGTAAAAAGGAAAAGCCTTTTGGACACAGCCTTCGATCTCAAATATATTGACTTTGATTCTCAGGCCTCGATGTGCATTGGAAACATATCTTTTCTGGGGCTTGCTCGATATAAATTGCTTGTTTGAAAAATTGGGAAGTGCCAAAACAGTTCAATTAGGGTTCTATGTTTACCTCGCATCTTTTTACCCTGAGTAATAGTGAGCAAATATTGTGTAGAAAATTTGTTTAACCCATTCAAAAAAGTGGGGTGTATGTCAAATGTTCTTGTTGCGTTGATGTAACTTGTATAATATACTTGCGCATAAGGAGAATAGACAGACGCAGGGAAAAATAAGAAGACTGAGCAGAAAAGGAAAATATGATGGTATATTATTACAATATGTGGACACACAGGGAAAAATAATAAGAGTCAGGCAACCGCCCCAAGCTAAACAAAGATACAAGAGTAAGCTAGGAAGCTATTATGGTAGTCGTGCTTATAGTAAATTCAGAAGCATTCCTCACAAAGCCAACAGCAGCATAAGGCAAAGAGGCTGCACCAATAGATATCACAAAAGAAACAAAATGATTAGCATCAATTGACAGGACAAGGGAAAAGTAGGCAGTTTTGAATGCTACAAGTATAAGGACGAATAGGTTCCACTATGAGGAGATCCATAGTGCTCGGGGATGCAGAAATTTGGGTTTTAGGTATAAGTCCACTAATTTCTGCAGTGATTTTGTTGGATTTTGGCTTGCGAGTTTTTTTATTTTTTATTTTATTTTAATACAATCGATAGTCTAAACTACAAAGGGGAGGGGGCTGCTCACACACACACTAGCAAGGGGCCAAGAGGTTAGAACTTGAGACTATTGGTCTACAAGTCAAGGCTCTTCCCACTGGGCTAGACCCCGTTGGTGACTTATGAGTTAGGTAGTAGGTCTCATGCTTTTCTAAGATTTAAATTTTTTTTACAATGATGATTGAAAGGGAAAAAACCTGATGCATAAGTTGTCTAACTACTTACCATCCCTCAATAAAGCCCCTGTCTCCTTTATTTTTTGTCCGAGGCCTAAACTTCTTCCCAGTTGGGGGATTCTCAGTTGCAGTTGGGTATCCTTCAAACCAAAACCACATTAAAAACAAAAGTGAGTCCTGCTATATCATAAGGATAAAAATAAAATTTGTCGCACAGAAAGAAGGTACCTGCTGGAGGTTGGTTCTCTTGTGCCTGTGTCTTGGCCATCTTGGAGAAGAAACAGCAGAAGCTATGATCTAACTTAAGACGAAAGATCAAATTCGATTCAAAGATCAGTGTCTAGGTGACTCTAGTATAAATCTGTATGTGGTGGTGTAAATGTTGATTCATCTGTGCATGCATATATATATATATATATATATATATAGAGAGAGAGAGAGAGAGAGAGAGAGAGAGGCTCATGAACCCTATAATGGTATAATGGAGTAAAGATTCTGATATTGGTCGGCTTCTAGTAATGTAATGTCTAAAGAGCCTTTTTCTAAAGGCAGAGCATATTGTGGATTTGAGTGTGGTTATGAATCTGTCCAGCTGACATGTGGTTCTGATTCTTGAGAAAGGGCTCCAGATACGTCCTTCAACTTTTGGCTACTATCATCTTCTCAGCATCAATTGTTTGAAGCCAGATTGGTGAGCCAAAATTTGTATTAAAACACTGAAATAAAGCAAGGTTCATCCACGTCATACAATTCCAAAAGCAAGCAGGAAAGGCTAATAAAAGGCAAGAAAACAGGGTCTTAAATCCAAAAGACTTGCGGGTTGATTTTGATTTGGATTCTTCACTTGCTGAAGAGGAGAATAAAAAGCAGTGGAAAAAGCATAAAAAGAGTTGATAAAAGGTGTGAACACAAGAATTCTCTACACAGGTTTTCAATCAGTGATAATTGTTCACAATTTTAATGCTTATTTATACAGAGAATATATGCTTCCACTGTTTTATAAAAGAAATGCATTAAGAACAAGGTGTTGACATATGCTCCTGTGAGCTGCGATATTTTAATTTATCTTTAAAATTTTAATATTTTTTTCAAAGACAACTGGAGTTTTTTAATTTTAGATTTTCATTTTCTCATGCAGCTCAAATTTTTTGTCCACATCAATATTAAACTGGGGTTCAAAACGTGCCACATGGGCATGAAACAGCTAACTTGACAATCAACAAAAGAAAAGGCAAACATTGCTGTTGATGCGAAAAAGTGGTTCAACTTAGTGATATTGGGTCTTCATTATGCTTTGGGTCTTGGTAGAGCGTGTGATATGCAAGACAATAAACACTCGGTAAGGCCTTAGGCACTGGTGTAGTACCGGCTGAAGGCTCTCCGATGCTTAAGTAAGTACGGATTTAGAAAACTTAAATTGACAGATCAATAGGCTGTATGTCGTAAGCTCTGATTATCTCCATTTGGGAATAGTGGTCCTCTTTTATAGGCCTTGGGAGGTGTACATATTGTTTAGAATTTCGATGTGGGATTGTGGACGTTGATTGTGGGCATGCCACGTGTCTTGGAGAAGGGAGTTGCCCTAATTGCTGGATCGGTAAGTAAGGTGTCGAAGGCCACCATAGCTAGGCTCAATATTGTCCACGCATCTGGTCCTTATAGGCTGTTCATTTTGGTATAAACAGAAGTCCCCCAAGTTCTCATATGAGCGTTCTCGGATGAGGACTTGATACCTTCTTCGGTAATCGAAGTATTGTTCTACCGTTCGATGATTTAGAAGAGGGTGGTGCTTGATCCTTGTCCTTCTGCGCTTCTTTATTCGGAAGCAGACACCCGAGAACTCAAGGGTGGCTACTTTGAGGCGAAGTGATGGGACTGAACGACGCTCTGTCTTCTGTGTCCCGCGTTCTGTCAGGACATCCGCATCCAGAACGACATGTGGCTTGCCCACTCATGCGGAGCGACACCATTAATGCATAGTTTGGTTTCCCAACGCGTACCGTTTCAATCCCTTGCCCTATAAATAGGAGTGGCTTTGGATGAGAAGTTCACTTTGCATTTGTGAGTGATGCGAGAGCTCTGTCCAGGCGATTTCCGGTGAAGGCTAACGGCAATCAAGGCGATTTTTGACGAAACCAATCGATAGTCAAGGCGATTTCCGACGAGACCAATCGGTAGTCAAGGCGATTTTTTACGAGGACGATCGGCAATTCATGCCACTTTCCTTCATCCATAGTTCGAGATAAGGTACCGTTCGACACTCTTTTAAATACTTTTACTTATTATGTGCACGTCCTTCCTTGGCATGAGCTACACTGAACATTGTGCAAGTAGGGTTTCGTTCGGTAGTCTAGTTGAAATAGGTAGCAATGTAGGTATCGGTAGGCTAGTCTTCTGCATGGCCCTTAGTTTCCTTTTTCTGTGTTTTGTAGATGTCTGATAGCGAGTCTCCGTTCGAGAGAGAGCCCAATGCGTTCGATGGGGAGTCATTTGACGATAAGAAGGATACAAATAGTGAGGCCGTAAGCCTCGATGTCGAGGGTGGAAAAGATACCGATGTCGAAATACTCAATGAGGGGACAAGCTCCGTTCCTACCCATGGCATCGGGAAGGGACTTATGACAAGGCAGCCAGTACCGTTAGTTGTGGTGTATAGCAACGACAGTCATGCCGGTGTGAACCAGCACTGCGAGTTCCAGATGGGGGATACTTGGGTGCCGGATGAGCACACCAGTCATCAATCGGAGACTTCCACCTCTGTCCGTGGAGAGGCAACTGCTGAACCTTTTTCTCAACTGAGTGTATCCATAGTTCATCAGGGAAACCCTAGGGTACCTATAGGCGTGCCGAAGGTGCATCTCTTTGGCATAGACTATTTGGAGCTTAATAAGATGACCATACGGGAGCCAGTCAAGCTTCGTGCCGAGTACTATATCCCGGATTCAGTAAAGATGAGGATCCCGGGTCCTACCGAGTCTCTCAGCAACCCAGAGGATGGTGAGGTTGTCTTTTTCACTGACGTTCTTCTGTAGGGGGTTCGGTTGTCGTTACAACCTGCCGTGCAGAAGATACTCGCCCAAATCGGGAATGCTCCAGGCCAATACAATCCCAACTTCTAGTGGCTTTAATGAGGGTGATTGTTGCATTCGGTATTGCCAAGGAAGGGGAGCCTTCCTATAAGCAATTCTCCTACCTGTATAGCGTCATCAAGTCCAAGAGTGCTGATCATGGAGGTTGGGTTCAAGCCAACTGTCTCAGGGCTTCCAAACGAGGGCATTTCGTCAGTGCCGTGTCGACTTCTCAAAAGTCTTGGAGGAATCGGCAGGTGCTTTTATCTGGCAATTGGGAATCGCCTTCGGGAATGCTCGTCCTTCCAGATTGTCGGTATGTCATCAGCATGTCGATCGGTAGGTTATTAATATGCCTTTTCTAAGAGATTTTTAATCGTTTTCTATTGTTTTGCAGGCAAACTGAAGCAGCCAAACCCAACTCAATCCGAGATTCGACAGGTTGATAAATTGAGGCTAAAGGTTCCCGCTGCTGACAGTGTATACTCGGGATTCCTCTTTACCAGGAACCTGATTAGGGCCCGCCTAGTCAGCCCTACTGAGAGTAAGTGCACTTTGTTTGTTTTGTATGTTCACTTATGATATGTCGGCGTCTTATCGGTCTTTGGTTTGTACAGTGACAGACACCAGAAGATTTGCCGAAGCCAAGAGGACGAATGAATCCTAAAAAAGGTGCCTCATGATGGGCCTGAAAGAGAAGAAAAAGAGATGGCAGCCGGAGTCAGTCTCAGTACAAACGGCCGAGGTTGATCCAGAGGATCAAACTCTTGTCGATCGGCTGAGGCAGCTGAGTGCCGAGCCGGTGCCCAGCGGTGCGACCGAGGCTAACTCATCGTCCAGGTGAGGGCAGGCTACCGAGGCTGTTGCCTCTAAGGCGGCCGGGAAGTGGCCAATAACGGTAGCAGACGAAGACATTGAGGGTTGTCTTTGCTGCCGAGGATGATGATGGCCTTACTGAACCTATCAATATCTCTTGTCCACCGAAGACGGTCCAATTTGCGAACACATGATCCTTGGTTCGCAAATGGAGTTGTCAGAGATTGAGGAGCTCTCGAATAAGGTCCTTTGGGAGGAGGCCAGATGTGCCTTCTGTCTCCAGGCCTCTGTAAGTTTCCTCTACCCCCCATTTTGTTTGTCGTTAGCTCTTACACTTGTTCTGACTTTTGGCTTTATCTTCCAAGCATTGATGGACATGTGGTTGTGCATGAAGCGGGCCATCTCGGCTGCCGAGAGCGCCAAAAAGGCTTATGAGGATGGTTGTTCCAAGGTTGCCGAGGCAGGCAAGGCTCTCCAGGATCACCCTTATCTCCTGAAGGACAAACAGGCTATCGAATGGCAAGTCAAAGTTTCCAAGGCCAAACTGATAGAGATAAGGGTGGCTCTGGACGCTGCGGTGACGGCAGCAAAGGAGGCCGTGCAGGCGACATGAGAAGAGTCCCAGCGGGCAAAGGCTGTAGAAATTGAGGTTGCCGTTCGGGAGGCAATCAAGGGTTACCGTTCGTTTGACGAGTTCACTGCCCTACTGGACAATAAAGTAGGCTCGGAGATGGCGAATCTTCTTTATCTTTTCAAACGGTTCAACCCTGGTCAGAAGCTGAAACTGAACTTTGCTGCCGATGACTATGAGGGGGAGGATGCTCCGGAAGTTGCTACCGCCTCCGAGGTTCGCGGCGAGGCCGCTGCTGATGAGGACATCGAGGCGGTCGTCGAAAGGGCTACCGTTTGAGCTGTCATATTCTATAATTTGTAATTTCATTTTTTATTTTGTACTTGTCATAAGGCAGTTTGTCCCAAACACCTTGATGCCGAGGGCATCTATTTGAATTGATGTTTAGCTATTTTCAACATTTTGGCTAATCTCATGAATCCTTCTTTCTCTTATTGCTGTTTGTTTGACAAACTTTTATTTACTTCCGGTTAGATAGCTGTTGTCGATGGCTAACACTTTTGTAAATAACTAATCCGGAACGTACTGTCGATAGGATTATGATTTAAACAATTATACTGCCAAGGGATAATAAAAGCATATTGCTAATTGAACCATTAATCGATAAGCGCTTTCAGATGATAAA